TGTTATGAATAAATGTTACGTATAGGAGGTTTCAAAGAAATAAAAAATACAAGAATTGGCAAGCTAAACATAAACAAACCACATTCAAATTATGAATTACAAAAACAAAACAGTTCAGAATTCTATTTGAATGCGGATTGTGGAAGTTACAGTACAAGTTGTCTATTAATAAGAAAATATGGATTTTATGTGAACGTTGTCCTATTTGCCGGGGTCCAAGTCTCCTAGAAGTCACTGGAATGTTTCGAATTAATCAGGATGGCCTCCTGAACTCCGCAAGCAAGCAAGAGTCTCCCGGAAAATAACCCATGTCCCGCAACTTGATAATATTTTGCATGTTTTTATTACTTTTTCTAAAGCTTTATTATTCCAATGCTTAACCTTTATTCATAGTAATTTTACTCCAGCCCTGTTCCATCTACAATCAGGACCATAAATAACAACAAATACTCAAATGAATGTCTGTTACGAGAGAACCCGTAATAATGTGTTGAATAGCTTGGTGATTAGCGCCTTCCAATCCCAGGGTACTGATTTAAATGCTGTGAGCTCCCACAATTTTGCTCACGACAAAACAACTCCACTTCATAAGTCTCATTATGAGCCTAAGTTTACATAGAGCATCATGTGAATATGTTTGTCATGTGATGGGATTGATAACTACCTAACAGTACAGTGATTTAAGTTGCTATTGGTAATCCTTGGCAATGTGCCTAAAGGAATAAAAGAAAAAATAAATAAATAAATAATTAAAACATTCTGCTCTCTGCAAATCGCACATCTTGGTGAACCCTCATTTGTCATGTGATCGGATTGCTAACTATCTAATAGAACAGTGATTTAAGTCACTGGTAATCCTTAGCCATGTGCCTAAAGGAATATAAAAAAGAAATAAATAGATATTTTAAAAACATTCTGCTCTCTTCAAATCGCACATCTTGGTGAACTCTCATGTTTTTACTTTCTTTTTATGTGATTTTTTGCATTCAATATTTTTATCTAATTTTTAATGTACAAAATAATATCATTAAATGAGCAACAATTATTTAATTACACAACTATTTTCATATATTATTATGTTTTGTCAATAGTCAATTTATGCAATTTAAGATTTTTACTTCTCTTTTTAATCCAATATTTTAATCTTTTACATCATAAATTTTATAAGAGCTTTGAATATATGCTTGGTTTGTTTGATTGTATACAGTAATAATAATAATAATGATAATAATTAATAATAATAACAATAATAATGATAATAATAATTACAAAAATAAAAATAAATAATAATAATAACAACAATAATAATAATAGAAATATGAATAAGAATAATGATATAAATAAAAATACAATAAATGAGTAATTTACGTTTTTAATTTTGAAGTTATTGTGTACTTTTTATACTTGTTTTTACTATTCAGTTTTTTAAACTACTACAAATTTGTAAAGAATTATGAAAAAAATTCAATTCTGAAAATGCCATTTCCTGACATTCATCCATCCAAACATTTTTTGTTTACCTCATCCTAAATCAGGGTGAGGCTGAGGTGGTTTTGAAGCCTCTATCTGTAAAGTTCCTTTCCCTGGGCCCCCTCTATTTTGAATACATGGTTTCACTCTCTGTTAGTTTGCAATAAGACATGACACTGCATAATCAACCATGCTCAACATTTCAAAATGAAAACAGGATAGAGCATAGAGAAATTCTATTTTCTCTATGGATAGAGTCAACAAATTGTTCTGAATACATGATGCATGACAGAAACTCATCATCAAGTGTATGTGTTAAGCCAACTATGAGTAAGCTGTCATGGCTGGCAATAAAAATCATTGGGTTCAACACACTTCAAACGTTATTGGACTCCAATATCATTACTTATTATTATTATTCTTTGCTTATTGATGTATTTTTCTTACAAGTATGATGTTTTGGATAGAATTACCACTGTAAAAAAGAAATCACCAGATGATGGAAGGTGAATTCTAATTTGAATTTTAAGACAACCACTAACAGAAGTAATTTTCTTTCATATATATTAAAATAATTGTATCTGGTACATAATTGTATACTTTTGTCCAACATAGCCTATTAATTATTAAACTTTAATATAATAATAATTATAATAAAATAATAAAATTAATAATAATAATAATAATAATAATAATAATAAATAATAATAATAACAATAATAATAATAATAATAATAATAATAATAATAAAAATAATAATAACAATAATAATAATAATAATAATAATAATAATAATAATAATAATAATAATAAATATACTATAATATTTTGATTGCATCTCATAATGAAACAACCTCAAAATAATGAAATAAAAAATAAATGAGAAATACTACATATGTGTATTCAGACATATCAACAGGCTTTTGTGGTTGGTGGACTAACTACTTTAGATCAATGTTGTAACCATAGCATCTACTTAGATTAACATGCAATAATGTGTCTAATATTTAAGTAGGCATATCAAGCATTCACTGGACTAATATCAGCTATACATAAATAAATAAACAGTTAGGCTGACTTGATTTTTTTTTTAACTTAAATTGTAAAAATGCTCATCAACAATCAAGTGCATTATGTTAAACCAACCATAAGTAGGCTGTCATGGCTGGAAACACAAATCATTGGGTTCAACACACTTCAAACGTTATTGGACTCCAATATCATTACTTATTATTATTATTCTTTGCTTTAAATTGATGTATTTTTCTTAGTATGATGTTTTGGATAGAATTACCACTGTAAAAAAGAAATCACCAGATGATGGAAGGTGAATTCTAATTTGAATTTTAAGACAACCACAAACAAAAGTAATTTTCTTTCATATATATTAAAATAATTGCATCTGGTACATAATTGTATACTTTTGTCCAACATAGCCTATTATTTATTAAACTTTACTATAATAATAATTATAATAAAATAATAAAATTAATAATAATAATAATAATAATAATAATAATAATAATAATAATAATAATAATAAATAATAATAATAATAATAATAATAATAATAATAATAATAATAATAATAATAATAATAATAAAAAATATACTATAATATTTTGAATGCATCTCATAATGAAACAACCTCAAAATAATGAAATAAAAAATAAATGAGAAATACTACATATGTGTATTCAGACATATCAACAGGCTTTTGTGGTTGGTGGACTAACTACTTTAGATCAATGTTGTAACCATAGCATCTACTTAGATTAACATGCAATAATGTGTCTAATATTTAAGTAGGCATATCAAGCATTCACTGGACTAATATCAGCTATACATAAATAAATAAACAGTTAGGCTGACTTGATTTTTTTTTAACTTAAAATTGTAAAAATGCTCATCAACAATCAAGTGCATTATGTTAAACCAACCATAAGTAGGCTGTCATGGCTGGAAACACAAATCATTGGGTTCAACACACTTCAAACGTTATTGGACTCCAATATCATTACTTATTATTATTATTCTTTGCTTTAAATTGATGTATTTTTCTTAGTATGATGTTTTGGATAGAATTACCACTGTAAAAAAGAAATCACCAGATGATGGAAGGTGAATTCTAATTTGAATTTTAAGACAACCACAAACAAAAGTAATTTTCTTTCATATATATTAAAATAATTGCATCTGGTACATAATTGTATACTTTTGTCCAACATAGCCTATTATTTATTAAACTTTACTATAATAATAATTATAATAAAATAATAAAATTAATAATAATAATAATAATAATAATAATAATAATAATAATAATAATAATAATAAATAATAATAATAATAATAATAATAATAATAATAATAATAATAATAATAATAATAATAATAAAAAATATACTATAATATTTTGAATGCATCTCATAATGAAACAACCTCAAAATAATGAAATAAAAAATAAATGAGAAATACTACATATGTGTATTCAGACATATCAACAGGCTTTTGTGGTTGGTGGACTAACTACTTTAGATCAATGTTGTAACCATAGCATCTACTTAGATTAACATGCAATAATGTGTCTAATATTTAAGTAGGCATATCAAGCATTCACTGGACTAATATCAGCTATACATAAATAAATAAACAGTTAGGCTGACTTGATTTTTTTTTAACTTAAAATTGTAAAAATGCTCATCAACAATCAAGTGCATTATGTTAAACCAACCATAAGTAGGCTGTCATGGCTGGAAACACAAATCATTGGGTTCATAATTGTATACTTTTGTTCACCATAGCTTATTATTTATTAAACTTAAATATTGTAATAATTATAATAACAAACATAACAAAATTAATAATAAAAATAATAATAATAATAATAATAATAATAATAATAATAATAATAATAATAATAATAGTAATAGTAATAGTAATAAATATATTGTAATAATAGTAATAGAACTAGTAGAAATAGAAGTAGCAATAATAATAGTAATAATGATAATAATAATAATACAATATTTTTATTGCACCTCACAATGAAACCTCAAAATAGTAAAATAAAAAATGAAGAAATACTACATGTGCATTCAAACATATCAATGGGATATATAATAAATATCTACCAGGACCATTTTAAAAACAGTATATAATATGCCCTGTATGTATATTACTGAAATGTTATCCTGGCTAAATAAGTTATAAATGAAATAGGCTTTGTGTCTTATATTTAAGTAGGCATATCAAGCATGCACTGGACTAATATCAGCTTAATGCATAAATAAATAATGAGGCTGACTTGAATTTGTTTTTTTGACATTATTGTAAAAATGTTCATCAATAAAGTTTTATTTTTCAGACATTAAAACATTAATGAAAGTATTACCAGATAAGTTTACAACAACAACAGCAGCAACAATAATGTAGCAATAATGATGATGATAATAATGATGATGATGATGATGATGATAACGATAACAACAATAATAAAGAAAATTTAATGATTTTTAATTTATTCTAATTTATTTAATTAATTTAATAAAGAAAATTTAATGATTTTTAATTTATTCTAATTTATTTTAAAGGTTTTTAAGAGTTTTAGACTTTTGTTCTTAAAAATTGTAAAAAAAAAAAATCAATCTTAATAGTTATTTATGCATGTTTCAACTTTTAAACAATTTTATATATTCATTATTCATTGTACACTATTTCTATATTTATGGCATGACCAACTTGAAATTGAATTTAAAATAAATGTAATGTGAAATAATATAAATCATTGTGAATTTGGGGGAGACAGGCTGCAGTGACAATGTATGTAAATGGGAGGGAGGGGGAATCTGTTTTTGAATGCGTCAACTCACGTTGCATCTACTCTTCCCTCTAGTTCAGATTCTTCACTGGTGATGAATGAAGGCAGGGTGACGGACACTTTAAACTTTGGCAGGACATACTCAGCCACAGTGAAAACCTGTTCCACAGCCACATGCTATAAAAGAGGAGTATTTCATTAACTTACTCTCTCGAAGTCAAGCAATTTTTTTATAATGATCTGGATATTAAGAGAAAATGCATAGATTATGTTTTAGATCAAGATAATAGAATGTAGTTAATCATAACTGTCAAAATGTGATTATCATTTTACTTTCTTTCAAAATTGTGGTTTCAATTTCATATACTGTACTTATAGTGTTGACAATTGTTATGCCACAGAGGTTTAACTTGGCTCCATACAATTGCTGCGTACCACCGCCAAACAGTTTTCAGAAATGCTGGTTGATCATTCGAATCTGGGAGCCTTTGTAATTGTGTTGGAGACTGCTATGAAGTACAATTTGCACTGTTAACGCTGTAGCGAAAATGTAGCGATTTTATGAAAACCAGGCATTATCGTTGCATCCAAAAATTTCATCTTAATATTAATTTAAAATATCTTTTCAAGTCAAAATTTAATTATTCAGGCTCTAATGATACTTTTATGCTAAAACTAAAAACGTTTTTACATACTATATTAACTACATTATTTATAGAATTTTTACATTATTTTAAACAATATTAATACAAACTGATGTCAAAGTTTACCCCTGAAGTAGCTGTAATAGTCCAGTCCCCTAGAACAGGCTGTGTTGTCATCATTAACTCTTCTGTTATTACACCTGTACTGGGCGGCTCATAGTCAATCCATTGCTTGATTAAATTCCCCAGTGGATCCTATGTTATAAAATAAAGAGAAAAGTAAACACTGATTTGTATCTGGATTACAATTTAAAAATTGGCCAAGTTGAATGAGTCAAACTCATTAGTACTCAAATATTTAATATCTTAAAAATAAAACACAAAAATTTACTTCTACCATATTTTTGTTGTTTATTAATAGTTAATGTGTTTTCACGGTGGATCACATGTAAAAAAAATAATGCAGCATTACTGACATAGATGTGAATGCTTGAACATCAAAACTTTATTCAAAATCAGATGAAAATACTAAAATATAATGATCAATGATAATGAAAAAACATCTTCATTATTATTTGAATATTTTCTAACAAAATTTAAAAATATTAATAATATACATTTATAATGCACACAACCAATCCATGAGTACTCAAAAATTCAATGTCTTACAAATGAAATACAATAATTTAAGAAACATATTTCAACAATATTATTATTGTTTATTAACAGTTGATGTATTTTCACTGATGTTTGATTACATAAATTTTACCTTGATTTCAATGTCAAAGTTCACCATGCGTTGGGATAAGTCAGGGTTCACAGCAAATATTCTGTAGTTTACTAAATAAAATTGAAAAAAGGTAAAAGTTGGAGCATCATCCATCATAAAACATTATTTTATATTCTTATTCATTTAACTTCTAAAAACTATCAAGTATAAACAATTATCATGGTAATAATCTCAGCCTTTGTACAGTAGTAGATTTCTTGTATCCTGTAGATAATTCCAGAGCTGATATTAAAAGGTTACCATATAGTACCACTAACTGAATTTATTTTTTTGTGCATAATCAATCAACCTAAAGAAAATAGAATTTTTTTTCTCTCATTTTCAATGTTAAACAACAAGCCAAACTGGACAAAATAATTTTTAACGATTTTGTGATGGAATGCCTGAAATCGTAAATTTTCAAGTCTGATTTTTCAAATATTGTCCTATAAACAGCTTTTTGTTTAAACTCAAGGGAGTGGCGGATGTAATAAAAATAACGAAAAACTTTTTTTTTCTGAAATTTCCATATTTCCCTGGCAACTGGTGCGCTAACTGGCCAAAAACAAAATTATATTTTTTATTTAAAAAAATCATCATTATTGGCGGATGTTTGGTTCGCAGTATAAAAAGTCTTGCTTTGGGTGCAAATATTGTATAGATAAATGACACCAAAAAATCTGAAATCAATGATGCATGACTAATTGTCACCACTGTCTTCCAAAGAATAAGGATTTACTTTCCGGATTTAAAAAGTACTTGTGAATAGAGGACTTGCATACTTGTTTGGCCTGGCTTATAAATGGCTTTGTCCGTCTGGATGTAGATTGAGAAACCCTTCGAAGCATATTTTAAGGTTTTTTCGTCTTCAAAGCTAATTCCCCCTGATGCATTTGCATGTATCATGTAGGCGCCATCTTGAATGTCCTCCGGCACCTTCAGAGAAAAAAAATATTCAAACTTAGACTGGTGTTTTTTTTTTGGTTTTTTTTTTGTTTTTTTGTTAATCCTTGTCTACATTGATTTTGTTTTCATTAACTCAATCACCTTGTTTAGCTTTTGTTTTATAAACTGTTTAAGTCTTCCTTTATTTTCTTTAGTTTATTTATCTGGTATATAATACTCAAAAATGCAACAAAGGTTGAAATAATTTTGAGTATACAATATGAACAAATGAAAGTACGGTATATATAAAATAAAACACCGCACATAATAAAAACCAAACTTTAGGCCTATCAATTCAATTCAATCTATATACTGTACATTAATTAATTATTATAAATCCATATACATGAAAATTGTTATTGCTTATTGATTGGTTTTAGGTGACTGTACCACTTAATAGGTAGTTTTCGCCGCACAACATTTAAGCTTAACTTTAACGTTAGTACCCAACATGCAGCACGATAGCTCCGCCCCTTTTGTAAACAAATCAAAATACGCATGCGCAAACCCGTAACTACCGTACGTTGGAGCACGTACAATCCTGAAATTAACGTACTCCGCAACGCAAGATGAATAAATTATGACGTCATCTGTTAACGTTAAAGTTAACGTTGTGCAGCGAAAACTGCGTAATTGTGTGTTGCAACTGTTCAAAGTGAAATGTAAAATAAATTATATATTATATAATAGGAAATGTACAATAAATTATATATTATATTATATAAAAATTAAAATTGAAAGTCAGAGTATGATAGATAATAATTAATTTCATACATTTTTCTAAATGTATTTCTCTAATGCAATAAATTATTATCATATTTTTTTATTATCATTCAATTTTAATTTATTTTCTATTTGTAAAGAGGTCCAAATATTTGGGAAATTCTGAAGCGGTCATAAAAAATATTTTGTATTTTATGTTACCTCCTCGAAGTTTTTAGCAACATATCGTGTGGTAAGCGGAAAGTCCATATCAAATTATGACACAGATTATATATGAGAATTTGGTCATTTTAAAAGTAATACACTTTACCCAAACATGCAAATGTTCACCTTTGTTATAAATAAATGTAAAGTTTCTCTTTAAATTAATTACATTTCATTTAAATAGAAGTATTCCATATCTAGATTTTTCAAAAAAAAAGAAAAAAGGAAAAAAGAATCATCCCTCCCTTATCAGTTTTTTGAACAACTAGATTGATAATCTCATTTTTTTTTTTGTCTAACATAATCTTATTTTTTTTAGTTATTAATGCTTTGTTTACTTTCATTGTACATAAATTGAATGATAATTCATATATTTTTAATTGTATACAGTAATACTCTCTTTTTATATATTTCTGTATTGCCTTTGTGATTGCTTTAATATTTTTATGTGCGGGCTCTCTGATCATCATCATACTGCTGTTTTAGGTCACCCTGGTTAATAAAGTTGAATGAAAAAAAAAATATAATAGATTTTGGTATTTTAGGAGAGAAATTTGAGATTTCTTTCTTGTATAAATAAACTTCAAACCTCAATTTCACATGTGATACCTGTAATTCAATTGTGTCAGTGACGCTACTGTTGTATGTCGTTACAGACTGTGTTAACTCAACCGAATTTTCCGTTATCCAGAGAGTCAAGGTGAAAGTTTCAGCAGCATCAATATTTAAGCTGACAACGAATGGCAATCCAGGGCGTATGGATTCTGGCGACACTATCACATACCCTCTACAAAAGAAAAAAAAATTATTATTTTTTTTTAAGTTATTCATTAAAAAAATACCTGTACCCCCAACTTTCCCCCCCACCTCCAAAAAAAGCTTTGAATTGCTTAATAAATTGCTCGCACACTACAATAGTGAAATTTTTTAATGATTTACAGACATTTTACTCTAATTGTTCTGATCAAATTCACTATCATGAATTGAATTGTAAATAAATAAAGCAATGGTGCTACAGTATTTAGATATATGTTTTGACCAGAGTTGAAATTATTGAAAATTTTCAAAGCAAACATCTCAATTTAAAGTAGTTAAATTTAACCTTATATCACTATATTTTGTGAGCTGGTGTCTCCCCCCCCCCCACAAACCCCTCCCATTTCAGGATTCCTAGATACACCACTGGCATTAACACTCTACAATATTAATCAGGCCTACTGTTTTTGAATTATAACTTGTTGGATATGTTTGTTGTTGTTGATTCTACACCTACAGTGTATAGTATGTTCCTAGAGATTTTCCAGGCAATTTGCGTTCGGCATACTGCTACGGTTGATTGATTGAAATGAATACTGCAGTATCTGCTTCATTTGAACTATTGTTGGAGTGTAAACCAAAACTGAAACAATCGTGATGTGTAATAGGCCTGTTAGTGCCAAGTTCTAAATGCCCGTCCCTAGGCTACATGAAGTCAGACATTATGAAAAAAATTTATGTTGGTTTAAGTGCATTCAAGTGTTTAGCAAGTGGGTGAAGCTAAAAAGTGTGAAACATGAATTCAAAAAGGTTCATTTTGGATGACCTCCTTTTCACTGAAACTTCATGATGAATAGACTGGTAGGTAAATAAATGAGTGTTTACTTAAATTACAAAACTCTTAGGTCTTGCAATACCCACCTTAACCAACAAACTTAATTATTAATAGATCACCCACTGTTAAACATTTACTGCAAATAGTATCCATAATTTGTTTTCACCATAGTGAAGAGGGCCGAATATGATATTTTTGGCAAGGTACCACTCTTAATAATTGTGTGAAGGTGCAATGCTGCAAAAATGTTTTACAAAAACAAGTCCTCAAAAGCTTGGAGAGTGTATAGTACTGTATAAATTTTTTGTCACTTCAGGGGACAATACATAAAGAAAAAGAAAAGAAAGGAAAGAAAGAAAAAATGAAATGAAACAAAGATTTAAAAAAAAAGGAATATTGAAAAGAAGTAAAGAATTAAAGACTGAATTCGTAGAATAAAATTAGTAGAAAATATTTAAAAAAAAAAAAAAAGCTCAGCTTAATTGGAAGGAAAAGAAAAAGAAAGGAATGGTAAGTAAATATCTAAGGAATGGACTACCACATGATTATCTTTAAATGGTTAGTTTAAATATTTCAAAATAATGGCTAATTTTTCCAAAATAAGATGTATTCACAACATAATATAATACAATATAATTTAATATAATATAAGAATATCATGAGATGTACTGTAATATGCCAACTAGATTTCCTAGTCAATGGCTGCCAATAACTGATATATTTTCAGTGGCTAAATTTATTGTTAATACATCTGTTGGATAATAAAATTGCCAACTAAAACTATTAACCACTTTAGATTTTAGAGATTTACTGTAGTCTGACCAACTTATGTATAGTAACAAACCTCACAAGGCGTTTCTTCATTGCAAGTCCGACAGTATGGGCAAGCCAAATGCCTGTCGAACGTAACAACTAGGCTTAGGCCCCCAGACTTGGCTCAGCAAACTTTGCTACAAGGGATTGACACAGTACGAAACACAAAACAAACTCAAGAGAAACTTCTTTATTAAAAACTTTAAAAAAAGATATAGAAAATCCATAGGAAATCCAGTCTTCTGAATAACGTCTATTAAATTTCTTCTATTCAACACTTGTTGAAGCGCTTGGGTGTCATTGTCTTTCGTTGACCAACGACAAAGGAATGAGGGCGAACCATGGGAGTGGGCAGAGTCACGTGCTAGGACAATCAGTCGGTTCTATTTTTGTCGTAGTGTTGTTCTTTAAGGAATATGTCAATTAGGCAGTTTATCCAGGTAAGTATTCACAAAATAGATGCAAATATTGTGATGTATTAAAATTATATTAACTGCGTTTTACAGTCTGGCTATTGCAGTATTCTTCATCGTCATCATTGTGAAGCAAATTTTCTAATACCATCAGTGATATTTCTGCCAGGCTAATGCATAACATGCATGGATATTAAACAATGAAAGTGGTCCACTACCTTGTAACCTAATCATGAACATCATTGTCAGTAAATTGCATTAAATTACAGTACCGTCCTCAGTGATTGTTCTGTTCAAACCAAAGCTTAAGTTTTATTTTTCATTACAACTTCAGGACTGAGATTTAAATTACAATTGGCATAGACGCAAGTTTTTTGTTGTGAAACTACTGTACAATTCAAGACCAATTTGGGATCTGAAAATATAGGGTGGTCTCAGGGTTTGATCCCCTTTCAGTTTGGTTTTATTGGCTCTCATTTTTTCAACAGTGGCAGCGTGCCACACACTATACAATGCGTCAAAACTTACTTAATTAAATACAGTATAACAAAAAGAGTAAAGCAAAAACAAAATTGGTAACAAAAAGGCAAACCCTAACATCAAACATCATAAAGGGTTAATTTTGTGTTAACATAAAATGTAGTCTGTAATGTAAGTAATAAATCAGGTTTGATATTTTCTAATATTATCATTATTGACAGTTTGCAGAAATGGTCTATACTAATGTTTGAAGAAGCGTTTGCTATACGTAGGCTACATCCGTTGCTTAACAATGGGCTGAAAGTTTCAAAAGAGCTTTCTTTGTTATTGTAGGTAGCAGTAAGGTAAGAATGCTTTGATCTTTAGTTTATTCATAACTATGTGATCTACAGTACTAGGGGTAATATTTTGATTGGTCAAACACTTTTGGTACTTGTGCATATTATAAGCTTGCAAATATGGATAATTTTTCATTCCTGATGATGACATAATTAATGTTGAAATATTGAATCCCGACAAGATGGCGTGCATTTCGATTGGAGTATGTATTTTACTATCTAATTTTATTTGGTTCTTTGAAAAAGCGGTCTCGAATTTAGAGGGGTCATGGAATTACAGGGGTCTCAAACTGGAGGGTGCACCATACATCATGGATAACCCGTGATAGAAAACTTTCTTCTTCTTTCTAGTGATGTCCTTCTGATGATGGTGAACTGGGTAACATGTGCTCTTTTCTGAAGAGTGTAATGGATTCTTGAATGACATGAACATTGGTCATATTACACATGGAAAATGGCCTTAAATGTCTCTTCCAAAATAATGGTGCACTTTGGTAACTTGCATTTAGGCCGCCAACTTAGAACATACTTAAGTATCTACAGTGCCACCAGGGGCGGATTGCTATAAGCGAACTTTAGACGGTCTTAACGGTTAGCCGGCTATTATCGTGATGTCACTACTGGTCTATCATTATAGACCATTGCTATACCGCGGTCTAACCAGTTAGCCATCTTAAATTTTAAAGACTAATCGGAGGAGGCTTAAAACGGTCTTAAATCATTTTCATCATGGCGTTCTGCTGATTAATTCAACAGTGCAATGGCAAGACCTAGGCCTAGATCGTCAAAGTCGGTGGATCGAACGACGAATACTCCGCACACTTCTCTGTGTCTTTAAAAATAGGTCTACAGTGTTTATTTGCGTTCATTTTGATACATTTGCGTGCGCGAGCACGCATGACGTCGCCCTCAATCTTACGTTACCAGGGAGTGCTTGTTTGCATTTCAATACTCAAATGTCTTAGGGAAGAATGTTTTATAGCAATGGTCTTAGAGGAATGACTTTAGTTAAAGACTGTCTAAGTGATAAAGCCGGCATAAAGGAGTTAAGACTACCAGTTAAGACCGTTTTATAGCAATCCGCCCCAGGTGATGAGAGACGTTGACTAGATAAAGTTCCTTGTCCAAGGAAGACAAGTGAATTCATGAACAATGCTTGGGAGTATGAAAAACATAACTCACCCATTGGTAAAGTGGATCAATCCAACAGCCACAAGAAGTAATGTTGTAATGGAGACAGCTTTCAAAGTCATAGTTATTGCTCTATAAGAAAAAAAAAATTTTTTTAAGGTCAATACTGTAATTGTACAATTATACAATTTTTTAAAAATATATCTATCTGATCCCATTTTTTCCTTTTTCGCAAGCCATCTATACAGTACGCCTATCCATGATTTACGTTCAATTATATTTTAACATTTCAACCTATCCTTAGGCCATGTAACAAAAAATCCTTATTTCCCGTCCTGGGTTTTTCAAAATGTTGGTGAGGAAGACACTTATTATTTAATATTTGTTTTTCACAGTTCATCAAAATATGCCAAAGAATGTTCTCAATGTTAGCAAAATGTGTTGTAAACAATTTGTCAATAGTCAATAGCCTTCCGAGGCCTGTTACATCTACGGATAAATTTTAGGTACGTCCCGGTACTACGGGGACACAACTAGGCCTATGTGTACATCTCCGGCAGTCCCGGCTATAGTGCCCCACTATGGCCCGAGTCAGGGAGGGCCGGGACAAGGCAACACCCACTGACAAGTGCATAAACCAAAACAAAATTTATCAGGTTTTTTTTTATCTTTAATTTATAAATAGTGGATTTCAAAAGGATAAATATAATTATACTTCGTTTGTACTCAATCTGGGGACTTGATTCAAAGAGCAAAATAAAGCTGCTATCGGATTACCGATAGGCCCAAGGCCTAGCCTATAGGGCCTAGGCCCCAGAATAAAGGGAGTCCGAGGATGCAGTGGTGTGTTGGTATGCACCTATTAAAATACTAATATTTTAGTGATTAGGCCTAACTGCGTAGGCTGTTACCCAAAGGAGATAAGATAACTTTTTAAAGCCTATGCGTACATTATTTTAGTAAATTGCAGCTTAGTCTAGGACATACCTTTAGTTAGTAGTAACACATTCGATCAAACTACCCCGGCTGAGTTCCACTGACGTCTCCTTTTTACAATCAATAAACAACGTTTTGGAAGCTGTTACTAGTCAAAGAGTATATACAAAGATATACTGTTATATAATATAACAGAAGAGAGTCCACTCAGACTGAAAAAGCGTTCCGCTCGACGACAGAACGCCCGCCGACAGCCTACATGTTTCATATAGGCCTATTCGACATCGAACACAATGTCGAGTATGAAACATGTAGGCTCCCGGCACCTTGACTTCTGACGATTAGTGTTAACAAATTTTCACAAAATAATGACAAAATTATTATTATTGTTTATTTTCGGTAAATATTTTCAGCCGCTTCAAATTTCGTTTCTTTTCTTCTTTTTTCCTTCCTATGTTTATTCCGTTTTTCGTTAAATTTAATTTAATATACTAGATACATATTTACGCATAATCTTTATATATAATATATAGTAAGTATATCATTTCGAGTATTATTTACATATTTTAACTGGACTCTAGTACTATAAGCCTGTGTATACATTGTTTCTTTATTTAACATAATTCAATCTTATTGCTTTATTCAAATATCAAATATTATTCAACTTTAACGATTACATTATTTCATATAATATATTTTTCAAATAAATATCTAAACCGTTTTCATTAATGAAATATAAACTCTGAAAATACATTTACGTAGATATGATAAATAAAAATAAACATAGTAGTAATCCATCTATTCATTAACAAAAATAACGGTTTCAATATTCTAATCAATTTGATATAGCCGGAGCATAGACCAATTATAAGTCCATGGCCGGAGTTAGTTTCAAACTAGGCAAACCTTGCTGAAAATTTACACTTTCTCCATCAAAAGGCTTTTTCATGAACAGTGGATGACGTTCGAAGCACGAACTCTGTATGACCAAAGCCAGTACCGTCACGAATTTTAATCGTGCGGGAAATTTTGATTTTTTTTTTTATCTTTATAAAGAGGCCTGGAGAATGAGATAAAATTACTAATCTTTTCAAGAGGAAAAAAACATTGAATTTTGAAGAACTTGGAGGTCAATAAAAAAAAACCTCTAGAATTCGGGAAAGCTCATTTCCGGCCCATTTTCCATCCGCCCCTGATTATAATGTGGGTGTTAATACCGTTATCACAGACAGTGCCTGAGTCACTAACAGTTGGATAGATCTTATTAATAATTATTAATGATTTTTTTTCTCATTTATCATCATAAATCCGGGATTTTAAGGTTTTCCTCATCATTACCTAACTCTCATTTGCTTGTGAAAGTATTTGAAGTTCGTGTGGAAAAATACTAAATAAAGTACAATGTTTTGAATGTTACTTTGGTGTTTCCGACTATTTTTTGACTACTGTTTTATACATTAATTTGTTTGACTGAAGAGAAAACGTTATACACACATACCAGACTGAGGAAGGGCTGGGGAACATAGTCATAGTCAAAGCAAACACATCATTAACTATATGTTCTCAATTAATAAGAATTACATATATCGAATACCAATGCATGGATGGATGATTGTTTATAATGAATAGTATCTTCTAGTATAGTGAGGCCTATTAAATATTATTTTTCTTATATACTCCCATCAGCCTTTTTCTTTTATCAAATTAAAAATACTATTGTGATTCAAAGTAAACTTTCAAAAAAAAAAACCTTACAATACATAGCATATTTCCCAATAATGTTATGTTTATAAAGTCTTGCTTTTATATTTCGTTAAAACGGATAATGTCTTAAATCACTGTATTTATATGCTGCCATCACTCGGCACAACTCATGCATCCCTAACAGACGCTAGGGGAGTTTTCCCCCATACAGCGGATCGGGCGTCACTCTGACTCATGTGTATTAAGAATAGCAGTGGACTTTCTTCTGTTACTCTTTGCTGTGTAGTGTTCTGTGTTGCGGGTGACAAGTGATGCAAATCAAATATTTCATTCCGTAATTCGTGGAAGAGATTCTACGAGACACGAGCGTGCGCATATGCTAAATTATGCCAAATGTCAAATTTCGAATAATCGCCCCACTGCATAACCATAACCCCAAATGTTAAATTTCGAATAAGCGCCCCCTGCATAAGCTCCGAAATGTTCAATTTCGAATAAGCGCCCCCCAAATGTTCAATTTCGATAGCCCCTTTTTAAAAAATGCAAACTAATTTTAATAGTTTTTCTTCAGTGAGAATTTAATTGTAACCCTGATCTGTGTGCTTTGGTGGCATACTGTGAAGGCTATTTCCAATGAAGGGTGATTTATTATTAGTAGGCCTATTGCAATTGTATACACAAACATTTAAAAAATACTTCCTCAAATAACTAGGCCTACCCCTCAAAAACCTTCCTGAAATAAAGGATGGTATGGGAGGTAAGTAGACAGCAACGACAAAAGCGATAAACCTCAAACAGAAGAGGCAGTAATGAATTAAAGATTAGTAAAACAAAAAACATTTTTTTTTTTTTTTTTTTGAGCTGATAATGGAAAATGTACGGTTTGCATTGTAGTGATACACAAATAAGCATTACGGTATCATAATTGTGAGGTTATGGGGAACAAAGATAGGCATTACAGTAGGCCTATCATAATTTGAGATTATGAAAATAAAATATTGTACTATATATTTAGCACTTTTGGTCTTTCAAATACAATGTCTATCTTCCTCAGATTATCATTTATTTTTTTGGAAATTGTGATATTTGAAATATATTGCCATGGTAATAGAATATTAAACAAAATTTGAACACAGTATTGACTAAAACTTTTATAATAAGTCAACGTTTAGTGTGATAGGCCGGTAGGCCAATCTACTTAACTTTTTTTTTGTTTTTGGCATTGTTTTATTCATAACTTTGAACAAGCAAAAATGTGAAACCTACAAATGCAATGAGCACTTTGAAGATAAAGTTTATAAATACGGGTGGACGTAGTTTTACATTGGGAGGGTGGGGGTGTCAATTTTTTTTTTCATAAAAACTCCAAAAAGAATTCCTAGATGGCGGGGAAATGAGCTTTCCATTCCAAACTTCTGAGGTGTCTTTTAATGACTTTTACTATAGGCCTACTACTATACTATACTATACTATACTATACTATACTATACTATACTATACTATACTATACTATACTATACTATACTATACTATACTATACTATACTATACTATACTATACTATACTATACTATACTATACTACACTATACGGTACTATATTTTATATATACTTATTTTTTATTATTGTATGCACAATTTTTATATTTGTAATATGCAATGAATTGTTTCCGCTCTGTTTTTCCTTTCTAAAATTGGACAGTAAAATTGAATTGAATTTAAGTTCTTCAAAATTCAAGGTTTTCCCCTCTTGAAAACGGTCAGTTAAACCAAACTTTCTCACTCTTATTACAGTAAATATACCTATTTATGTGTGTATATATGTACATAAAAGATTGAGTTGCATACGTATTCTTCTTTTCATGCACCTATGAACCCCAAACAGGAAGGATGGTCAGTGGGTCCTCTCCTGGGAAAATTTTGAGAATTTCGATCCCTAGATGGCAGGAAATTAGCTTTCCCGATTTCTGAGCTGTCTTTTAATGACTTTAAATTCTTCAAATTTTAAGGTTTTCCCCCTCTTGAAAACGATCAGGTAAACTTTCTTATGCCTAAACACAGGCCTATTATGTGTATATATAATTACATCGCATACATATTCTTCTTCTTTCCATAAATCGATGAACCATTAAGAGAAAACTTTTATTAGGTGGTATCCAAGGTTATTGACGGCTGGTTTAATTCATATTAAAGTTTTGTTTTTTCTTCGGCTAAAATTTTCTAAAATTATGCCAGCACATTTGCTAGATGCTAAATGGGTCTAAATTATGCCAAAATAAATTATCTTTAAGCGCAAGTGACAAAAAATTATTTTTTTAACAGGCGCTATACAAATTCTCCAATTTATTATTTATTTTATTCTAGCCACGCCCCGCCCTTCTATTCAGACCGTGAATTTTAGCTTTTGTATAGCTTTTCACTGGTAGGCTCAGCCTTTGTTTAGTTTTCAACCAATCAGCAGCAAGTCTCATCACTCAAACATATAAGTATTTCCCTGTTTGAGATCTCTGCAGATATTATTCTCATGAAGACGGTTGAAGCAAGTCAACCGAAACGTCGAGATATTCTCAACCAACAACAACAGTTCTTTTCAGAACTATCTACGTGGTGTACCGCAAGCATTAATTATATATTACACTTCGCCATGCAAACCTTCAAACAATATTGTATTATTTATTATTATAAAAAGCATAATTATGCTAGGTTTGGTCACTACGGTGTGTTGCTGTGGGTACCACGCTTGAGTGCATAATAACGATTGATGGCAGCATTAATGATACTGTACTCTACTCTGCAAAGACCTCCTCCTCTTGAGACCGCCGGTCACCGTTGACCTTGAATATGAAGGGGAGGGGATCAGGGGAATTTCCCACGTTAATCGTCGTACGAAAATGTCGATTTCTTGGCCCCTCTTGCCGAGATAAGCAATATTATTGTAATTGCCACCGCATCCTGAACGTATTGTGGTCTAATTTGGCCCCATTAAACCATTTTTAATCAAAGGGCCAAATTAAATTGAAATTAGATTTTAAAATATTTTCCCTCAAACCCCAAAGATTTTATTCCGGCCCTGAACGACCCCTCGGTACCCCACGTCGGAGCCATCACACTAGGATTTAGATTTAGCTCAGAAATTGAATAATTGTTAGTAGGCCCCTATGTTGTATTGTCCGCAAGTAGCAGACAGGCCAGTAGGCGGGGCGGGTGGATGGGGGTGTTTTTGAAGAGGGTGAGGGCGCACCCACTCCCAAAATTCAAAAGGTCCACTTTTTAAACCTATTATTTTACACAAAAAAAAAATGTTCCTAATTATTGCAACTGCAATGCATTGCATTTTGTATTTGCAGCCGTTAATTTGATACCAGCAGTGGTATGTTAAAATGATCAGCTGTGGTAATTACAAATTGATCCATATGAAAAACGTTATCTATAGGCCTATAGATGTAAAGGACAAAAAACGGTACGCATTACTTCATCAGGTCCCTAAAAACACAAACTAAAATCTTAATTCTCGAATGGTTTGAGAAATCATGGCCCTCATGTAAGATGTTTGAGGGCCATAAGCTTTCGGAGGATTTTCCCCAAAACCCCCTCTCCATGCACCTCTGACCCTGGACTCTCGAATTTAAAAAGTCCACTTTATAAAAACTATTGACTAAAATCGTTCCTAAATATCATGAAATGCTATAGTATACATTGCATTTTTGTTGCAGCTCTTCTAAATTATCAGCACAGTGATTGCAGATTGATCCATTGAACAATTTTATTTTGCCTACAGCAGATGTAAAGGACCTAAAAATGTTACGGTATTTCTTAAGGTCCCTACATCCCAAATGAATGAAAATTTATAGTATTCACAAATTATGGTTTCAGAAATCCTATTATATCAAGCGACAACTTTGTCGATGCGTTAAGGCTTCGCCTAGCTAGGAAACCCTACTAGACCTCCAAATTTCAGTCCATTCAGTCCAAATTTAAAATCCATTTTTATAACCTCTTAATTCAGTAAAAAGGTTATTAGTTTACTATAGTTATTTACCAGCTCTTTAAGCCGTTAATTTTTAATCTGTGGTACGAAAATTGTTGGTATCAGTCAGCTCCAGTAATTGGAGATGGATCCATTATGAACAACTAAATATTATCTGTAGGCCTACAAAGATCTAAGGGACAAAAAAGTTACAACTTTGGTCCCAGCAACAACAAAATGAAAAAATAAATATATAAATAAATAAATTGATAGAAATCCATTTATAAGGCGCTCAAACTTTTTGGACATCTCTGAATTCACCACCTACGAATAGAGGAGTCGCAAATCATGCAAACCTTATATACCTTTTCTCAGAGTTATTGGTGCATTATAGAATCAATACCCCGGTATCCGGTCCATATGATACAGATTGTCACAGTTTTAGTATAATAATTTAAAAAGTACATAAAAAAACAATGGCAATCAAATTCATCATAAGACATTATGTTTTAAAGATGTATTGTCCCTGAAAACGACAAATAATTCTAAAAATTAATTTTGAAATTAACTTGCTTATTTTGCAGTATACAAATTATTAACTTAAACATAGAAATTATTGGACTTAAAAAATATGACCCGTATTTTTATACTGGATAATGATAATACAAATAATAAAACAACATCCAGTGACTGGAAGCGTACACCTATCATTTGTCGCTATAAAATTACTAATTTAATTCTGTCTGTTTTCGATCAGTATTTCGCAAGGGACAATACATTACATTGTGGCCTATAATACTTTTGAAAAATTCGCTCGGCAGATAATAAATTGAAAATATTTTGGAGGCTATGTGGCATCAAGTTACTCTTCTTACCCCTTTAACAGTACCTGACCTTTCACCAAAATCCAGATCCCGGCCATTAATAATCATGCTTTCAGTATGTTCTACTTTAAACATTAACACAGGATTAATTCAAAATACCATAAACAACTTCATTTCATAAGCGTTATAATGGTGTAATAAAATGCTTGAGCATTAAAAAAAAAAAAAAAAAAAAAAAATAGAAAGAATAAACGAATTTTACGGCTAGGCTAATATTTTTTTATTCGATTCTTTCTAAGTAAAAATGAGTACAGTATAATTATACTGTAGGTACTTCATAGATTTAAAAAAAAAATTAATATGCTAGTATTTCATAAGCCTAGTTTTAGTATGCTTCTTTTAAATGTGTCTACCATTTTTTAGATAATATAATTACCTTTTTATGTATTTGGCAAACTGCGGTTTGAACTGGTTGTTTTATTGAGAGTCGGCGCGGCGGTGGCAGCATCATCATATCGCGATTCTTTGATATCGCCCTCTTCGGCACAGAGAAAAATAATAGATAAATAAATCATCATTAGAGTCTAGACGAAGTAGGTCTATCCGATCCCACACATTTTTTAGTAAGTAAAGAATGGTAGTTAAGTGATCTTCTCACTTCTTCAAACGATATATCAATTTATAATTGTCCATAAAACGAGCAAATGAATGGTTTTGATAACGGGTATACAACAGATCGCCGTAGGCCGTAGGCCTATATAAATGATCACAACAAATCAAATCATGCTGGAGGTGAGCACTCAGTCCCGCACTCAGTTTTAGTTAATGCTTGGCATTGGTCGTTCTTTTCTCTAGGACAGGCCTTCGAGGCTTTAGTACTACGCCTAGGCCCACTGTCGTGGGCCTGCAGTGTATTCTTTCAGGACCTAGCCTAGGCAAAGCCTTGCGATAAAAGCCTGTTTTTTATACTCGCAACCAAAGATAACCCAGTAAAAAACTAAACAGCAATTGTTCATGTCTTTTTTAGGCCTATAAAAAAAGAAAAGATAACGAATTTATCGTGTAACAAAATATATTGACAATTAAATCAATTCAAATGACGTCATAATCATAGAAAAAGGATAAAATCGTTGTTAATGTACTACAGTACTATATTTATTTAAATACTAATTTTATAGGCCTAGCTCGGCCTAGGTCTTTTTTTGAAATTAAATTTATGTATAGTCTTTTTTTTCATTTTTGTTTCCCAATTGTTAAAAATATTTATTAATGTATATTAATATACTAATCCAATCAATTCATTAATTTAATATATTTTTGTATTCTTTAAGAAATGTTGTTAATGTGCAGTATACATTAATAATTAATTCCTTAAATAGTATCTATAGAGCTTTTTATATATTTTTATAACCTTTTTTAATTGTGTGCAATATATTCATGTTAACTTTTCCTCATGGATGACACTCACTGCGTTGTACGACGGTCGTGTCGTCACACGACGAATCCACATTTGATTCCGGCGAGCGACAGACGACGCAACGCCATCTGCTGATTGTCAGTGGCAACCTGAATGGATCCTCATTAAAAAGACGATCCGTTGGGTTCGCGTCTTTGCGTGCGTCGCCGTCGCACACAGTGAGTAACCGGCTTTTAGGGGTAGCTTACTCTTTTGAGTTACAGTAATTTATTTGCTTTAGCTGACCCTGACCATCGTTTTGTTGTTTTTTGTTGTTATTGTGATTTTTGATTTTTATATGGTTGAATAAATAAAATGAAATGAAAAAAATGCCATACTGTATAATATGGTCGAATAAATAAATGAAATGGAAAAAAGGCCAAGGCATGATAAGTTACAAAATTCATTTTACCTATATACTCTTTCAAGAGGAGGAAAGGAGTAACTGCAGTCAAAGAATGTTTTATTTTGTTTTGAAAGTAATGGACGACCCATTAAATGGCATTCGCATAAACATAAACTTCAATCTTGTTTCTTTACTATACTCAACTACAGAGATGGTAAAAAAAAAACCACTTTGTTTATTTTCCAGATATGTTACTAAAAAACTTGCTGTCTTAAGAAAATTCATCTACAAACTCGTTTGAACACTTGGAAAGGAGATGGCTTCAGAAATAAGTGTTGCAATTTCCGATGGCGTACTTACACTATCTGCACTAGGCCCTGCTGTTTTGTTAGGCCCAAGTAATAAATATGCTTCAGCTGGGTTTCTGCTGGTTGCTACAGCAGCGTTTCTGGGCGTGTTCAGATTTGGCCAAAGCCAAGCTGGTCACAACCTCATCTACTACCATAAACTCTTTACATGGCTCTCCACAATCTTAGGAATGAACCTACTAGCTTCTGGATTTTACTATGCAAATAACCATTCCACTATAGCATCAATTCATTTGGTATTAGCGGTCGTTTTCACTCTTGGAAGCTTGCGGACACTAAACGTGATTGATGAGCAAAGGGCAGAGACAGTAGCATCAACTACAGCAGTTTTGTCTTTTCTTTTCGGAAGTCTACTCCTAAGGAATCCATTTGGTGTTCTAGGAATGTTGTTGTATGCAGTTTCTGGTGCTGTTGGTACTACCGGGGAACTTATGCAAGTGAAGCGTGTTAATTGGTTTCATTATATATTTGCATTTGGAACACTGACGTTATTGAAAGCATTTCAATATTAAGACAAGCTTGACTGAAAAAAAAAATCAGGCCTCATAGTTGGCTCAGCCTTCAGAATTGTCTGAAAATAATGAACTATGATACATAGTTTGATAGGCCTACTCTGTGGTGGCTCCAGAAATTTGCTGACAGTGGGGTCTAAACGAAGGGGCCCGACTAGAGCAAATCCTGATTCCCACTGGCACCACCGCTGATCAAACAGCTAATATTTTTCTTAAAAGTTAAGGAACTGTTATGTAATCGCTTCATAAAACTTCAGACGATTCCAAAGGCCTGCCAACTTGGAGGCATTTGTTGTGCGTGATAAATATTTGTTTACATTGATTGACCATCAATATGGGTATGCGCAGTTTAATCTGCAAAGTGGCATTGAATAAGTATTATATTTAAACTTTAATTCAAAGAGATTTAGAGACTGAGAGGTATACAGATATGATTCTGATACAAACATACAAAGGTCAAGGGCATTGTAGATTCTGGGTTGCATTAAATTTCATTAAACAATATTATTTATAGCTCTGTATAATTTTTATGTGTTTAAATTTCTCTCACTTCAGTAAATTTTTGATTGACCTCATTAAATGTAGGGGACTATCTGAAGACAGGGTTTTTAGACGACAGTGTCTTCCTGATGGATATGTAATAGCCAAGCAAAAGTACTCTATTAGAGTAAAAATAATCTTTACATACATGTGTATTCACATGTATACAGTACATGCATACATACACAGTACAGAGCATTTTTATATGCCATAGTATACAGCATTTAGAAAACAATATACTGTAATGCAATATTTGACTTTCGCAGGAAATGCAACTTAGCTTTTTCATTTTGATTGGACTTTGTTTTAAACACCATTACAACTTGTTCCGTTTTTCAACAAAATCATGACTTCTACTGTAGTTTTTCATGAATACCTTTGAATTCTGCACAGTTTTTATTTTATTTATAGTAATGCTTGTATTGTACTCTTATCAGTAAGAGTTCCATGGAAACAGTTTAGGCAACACTTTCTATTATTTTCAAACTTGCCACCCACCAATAATGATTTCGAATAAAAATAAAATTTTATTTTTGGCCAATTAGTGCACCCGCTACCACGAAAAAATGGAAATAAAAAAAAGTGTTTTTCTTTATTTCTTACTATGCCAGCCTCTGCTTTGAAATCTCCAAAAATAAGATACAGTATTTCTTCCCAATTATGTAAATTTAAACCATTACTACACTGTTTACATTCACCAATAAAATGTTTTGTTTTCTCCTCTGTCTGGGTGTTTTCTAAAACCATTTGATAATAATAAGAAAACAAAATTTTATTTTTTTTGTTATTTTGTCCGATGGAGGGTGTCTGTCTCCATGTAGTGGCACGGGTCCTAGACAAGAGAGCAAGTGGGCTTGCCCAAAGACTTTCTGGAAGGAGGTCCAGGAGTTCAAACCCTGGAAGCTTTGACAATTTAGGGATTTGAAAGGTTTAACGAATTGAGCTGAAAGTGCCACAGGCGAGCTCTCCCCCCCTCCCCCGGAAGGAAAACAACAACCACAATTCGTCGGGGAGAAATGTGTACGTATTTTTTACATATCAGACCCCAAAACCGATGGAATAAGCCTTTGAAACCACTAAATTGTCTTTTTTTTGGAACACTTTCTCGAGATTTTGAGCGACGCCCAACCACGCACACCTTTTTTCATTGGGACATTGGCCTCCATCGGGAAAATCCTGGCGCCACCACTGGATACTACCCCTGAATTTACAAGATAAAGATTTCAGAGAAAAACTTTCACACACAGCTTTGACAACCTTGAAATCTTAAATCAATGTATGTGGTTGAGTTTCCACTTCCCAGATAGGCCTATGCAAATTAATCCTCACAAATTTAATTAGTACATTATGAGAAGGTTGCAAAGATTTTCCAAGTCTAAGTACCAAAACAATAGTAAAATCTCAAAGATTTTGAGCGACGCCCAACCATGCACACATTTTTTCGTCGGGTACATTGGCCTCCGTCGGGAAAATCCTGGCGCCAACACTGGATACCCTGAATTTACAAGATAAAGATTTCAAAGAAAAACTTCCACACCAGCTTTCACAGCCTTGAAATCTTAAATCAATGTATGTGGTTGAGTTTCCACTTCCCAGATAGTACAAAAAAAAATGCAAATTAATCCTCACAAATTTAATTAGTATGAGAAAGTTGCAAAGATTTTCCAAGTCTAAGTACCGAAACAAGAGTAAAATTTTAAGGTTGTGAAAGCTGCTGTTTCTTTTAAAACCATACTTATAGAGGGTGACACATCCTGGACATCCTAGAAGGCTAGCTGATATTGATCAGACCGGTGCCCTCTTTAAAAAAATGAAATAATGTGAAGGTTTTAGGCGAAGTCTCCTTACAAGGCTTATAGGGAATGGAGATGTGTTTCTGGTCATTAGAAAAAATTCCTGCTCTGCAACTTTGGACCCAGGACCTTGGGGTTGCAAGTGGATGTAGCAAGTACTGCTACATCCAAGTTCATTGCTCTTCTGCTTTCAAGTTGGTCATAAGCTTCAATTCCTCCAGTTTTCTCTATAAGCTGTATGCGGGGAGTATCCCTCTTTTTGGACCGGGGTTTTCATGGTCATAAGCAGCTTTGGTCATTAATTAGAAAAATAATATCAAAAAGATACGATTGGTATTCAATTGCGCTGCAGAAAGGTAGGTGGCCTTTCACCGCCGGGATCTTTAATTAGAGGAGATCTTTAAATATCAAGTATTAATACAGTTACTGTAGTTCTATTAATATTTTAAATATCCTTAACAATGTCAATTTGTAATAACAAATTTCTGGTTGTTTTCAGACAATTATTTAGTACTTATATTTTGTATAGTTTTATACTGTACTGTATATTTATATCACCAAAGCTAAAACTTGATTTTTCTGATTGATATTTTGTTTAATATTATTATAGCATAGTATTTTTTTTTTTTTAATGCAGTAAAAGCTTTTTACAAGCTAGGTGAATTTTGCTAACACATCCTAGCTTGGCACTGATTAATATATTCTGTCTGTTCAGGAACTTGCACATATTAACGTAACAAGTAATTTCCCGATGAGTTGTGGCATATGAGTGGGCATGAGTGGCAGTAGGGAAAAATTCAATTTTTATTGTGAAATGCACATTGTTTAACTCTGCATTAACAGATAAGAAAATATTTTATTGTATCATTCTGAAAACACTACCGGTAAGATTTTTGAGTTTAAGTATGAAGAGTGCAATTTTCCAGGCACCTGTAAATGTCCATATTCTCAAAATTTTCTCACCTCGGCCTCGACCTGAAGTGGTTTGGACTCTAGTCAAAATCAGCCAAATCCTGCATCCGCCCCAGTACTGTATACGTTAAGCTCTGGAAAAAATTTTTGTGGCAATTTACATGAATAAAGTAAAAGATTTTTAATTCTTTCTAAAACAGGTTTTACTGTTTTATTGTGGATGATCTTGTGGTTTTTTTTCCCTCATTTTATTTGAATTGTATATTTCAAAACTTCTACTTTTGTTTTGCAATAAATTTATATTGAATCGTGAATCATATTCATATGACTATTCATTTCTATCTTTAGCTTACAACGCAATAGTATCCCATCATTCTCCTCACACCGGATTTATTCTTGAAACTTACTAAAGATATGATACTGCCCCCGCAAGCGAGCATACAAAAAATCACGCAATATCATAGACATACTGAAAAAAAAAGTTCAAAGAAGCAGAACTGTGGTAATACAACTTTAGTGCATTTATTGCAAATCTTATATGTATACAAGCTAATAAAATAGTTGCAAGATTGTTTTTTTATGCTTCAATTACTGTATGCCTACCTTAAAAAATGTTCATTTCCCATGGCTACCCTTTAAAAATTAACGTAGAGGTCAAATATTAATACGGATGTCATTAACCTGAAGGAGTACATGGGGTACCATCAGGGGTGTCATACATTCTGCATGAGAGAAGGGTTTGTGAAATTGTTAGTAATCTGAGTGAAAAAGAACGGGGTTGTGTGAATGACCACACCAAAAATGCACACATTAAAAGTACTGTAGGTAAAAATAATTATTTGGTGAAATACAGTGGTTGGATAGAGGGGGATGGGGTGTTGTTCAGCTACATCTCAAACATAACTGTTATGAAGGTTTAGCCAAAGTTAATACTAGGGATTTGATGTAAGCCCAGCAGGTGAGCCTACTGTATAATATTCAACACGTCTATATTTTGCACAGCTAGATAGGGATGTCACAAAGAAACCTATAAACAACCTACCGGTATTATCACTTATGTAGATGAAAGAGTTGATTACATGGAAATTTAATTTAGGATAGTAAAGGAATAATATAACCGATTATAATGTAATACAGTATAATAAATAAAATGAAATTAAATAGTGAATAGATATGAAAATACTTTAACTGGAAAAGAACTAAAAAAAAAAAAAGACTATTTGGTCTATAACAAAGGAATTTTCTTCCTATAACTGAATGAATAATTTATGAAATGAAAATAAGAAAAATTCTAAACATAGATATTAATAAAGATATTTAGGTTACATTAATACTTGCACAATAACACCTCTTAAAATTACTAATTTTCTCAAATCTTTCATATATTTTCCGACCTTTGATACGGATGAAATTTTTCCCATCAGCCCATTCCTAAATTATGGGGTGAGTTTATAATACCGTAAAACTAAATCCAGATATACTGTACCTATCAGTAGGCCTACTCAACTATTAGTACCTGATCCTAGCAAATTGTTACTGAACATGTTGTATTTACAAACTCATTTACCACTTACACTGGCATATGAAAGAAATTCAAATCAAAATGAAGAGCACTTTTAAATAATTACTAAACACAGAATTTGGAAATGAACAATCACACAGAGTAACCTGATTTTAGAGATAGCACCTGGTAATTTGGTATAAAATCATCATAGCAGTGTATTATTAAGTGTTATGCCAAAATACTATATTAAACTTATAGTAAATTTTCCTGAATCAATTTCCTTTTTAATTAAAGGTGTGTAAACACTCAAAAAGAGAGCGAGAATCAGTGTTATTTAACTGGAGTATGGGTTGGGGAATACAAAGTGTAAAGCTCCGAGGAGGATTGGGGAGGGGGGTGTCTGGTGTTTGAGATTTGTGTTCAGAAATGCTTTACCATACCATATACTGTTGTAATACTATCTATCCTATACCCATCCATAACTAATAATAGTTTGTATTGCCATAACACATCATCATAGAATGATTCAGTAAATGACCAATTTGTTGGGAAAATAATTTTACTATTTGAAATACTGTAAAGTATTCTTTTTTTTAATAATGTATTCAGTGTTTTTTTTTTTGTTCCAAATTTAACAAAGGATCATTAAAATTTTAATATTGAATTGAGATCTCAAATAATCAATAATCCTGTATACTAACGAAAATTTATATCAGAGATTAGCATGTATTTTGTTATTCAAGTAATCATCATTGGCCCACATTCATTTAACGAAGGCATGACTAATTCAATAAAACTATAAGAGGATTGGAGAACAATACAGGGAAGTATGGGTCAAGTGACCAAATAACAAAATAACAAAAGACCATTAGCGATGGTAAAAAAATAAAACTTGGTTTGCTGTGAATATCTCTCTAAAGAATAAGTGAACGTTGCAAGCAATTGCATAAAATATTATTAACGGTAATTCAATTTGATGATATAGTAAATGGTATACAGTAGTTGGAAAATATTTATGGACTCTCTCTAGCACTTTTTTTCAATTGAAAAAAACCCTTGAATTGCATATAGTATTACCAGTAGTAGTGCCCCTTTAGAAAGACGAAAGCCTCCATGGGGCATGAATCGCATGAAAATACTGGACAATTTTAAATTTTTTCTTTAAAAGCATAAGGTATAATAAATGCTGAAAGCTCAGAACAGCTTAAAAAAACTCCCACAATTTCGTAGCTTTTCTATGTGCGAGGTGCACTTGGTCCCAACTAGTCTTTTTCTTTTTTTCAAAGACCCACAGGTCTCGGTCAGAAATTGTCAAATCTCTACCCCTCTCCAACCATGGAGTTTATTTTATACCTCCATGCTCCAACCAATCAGGCCAATCCTAGCACCAACACTGTATAACTCCTGATATAATCAGATCCATTTAGGAAGTGTAGTTAATTCACTCACAAAACAAGGGTACAGTAAGTGTAAGTGTTTTGTTTGGCCACAGCACCAAATGTTACCTCATAGTGCATAACGTTGATTACGAAGGTTTTAATGAACAAGACCAATATTGATGATCATACCATTGCAATTACCATAAAGTGACAAAATGTATTTTGTGTCTGTTTATAAAAAAACAAAAAAAACAAAAAAAAACATTTTTTTTTATTGTGCACAATAAATATGCTTTTTTCACAGACAGACAAATGCTACTTAGCGTCACTTTGTGGTGACAACGATGATACAGTATGAAAGCAACATTTATGACTGGGGTGACAGTGACCGAAGGCAATGTCTGAACATAGGAAGACAATGTTGTGACACCGGCTGAAGGTATAGTTAATGACCATTATGACAGCAATGTTGATGATAGGGTGATAGTCACCCAAAGGAAAGGAATTTTGTTGATAAACTATTACAGCTCTAATGAAAATAAATGTATTAACTATTTATATGTTAAATTAATTAAATATAAATATCAACACAATACCTACTAATAGCCATATCATACAAATAATGATACTACTAAAACCTTGCCACTAAATGCGCATTAATATTTGGACGGACGACAATAAAATCCTATAACACAAGAAAAAAAAAAACTGCAAAATATTTGACCTTACTTAATTTCCTGGCAAAGGTGAGGATCCTCTTTTCTAGGTGGCATTAAAACAAGAACAGGAAATAATATCTACAACTAATGATACAATCAGGCTTTTAGCTACAACTAACTAATCTACAGTACCATGCGACAGGGTAGGGCCTAGGCCTACGCAAGCTAAAATCTACTCTGAAAGTTTTGATCACGTGGAGAATACTGGCCTTTTGAACTTCCCTAACTTCAGCAATATTGCTGTGTATACCACAATATATTACAAAATATTGTTTTGTATGTACTGCTACTGCACATTTACAATAACAATCTATTATTATATAACAATGTTTTGTAAGACATAATAATGCGATATGTATAAATACATGTATGATAATTGATATATACATATATTTATATATATTAACAATATCATGTATTCTTACTGGGGTGGATCTAGAATTTTTTTGCTGGGGGGTGGGGAGGAGGTGTCACACTTACCAAATTTTAGATGGCTTAAATCACCATCTTAATCCCAACATGGAGTATGGTCCCTTCACTATGTGGGTGTGGTTGATAAACTAATATATCAGGGGTTCTAATTTTTTAATTTAGGTCAACCTACTAGCAAGTTGGTAACATTTTAGATTGTTGGGCCCCCCGGGGGCGCTAATGCCTGTTTAGGCCCCTCTCTAAATCCACCCCTACCATATGAAATATAAAATGTGTATATTTGCGTTCACTGACAATATTAATATTTAGTATTACCACTTCAAATTATTTACACTTAATATTTATTCTGTACACTGTTAAATCTGAAAATCAATTTCAGAAATACTATTTGCTACATTTTAGTGTAGAAGTATTGTTTTAGTGTAATATGGCTAAACTGAATGTCAAGGTAAATCCAAATTTTTGATTAGTAGACAAATTGGACTGAAAAGGAGATATATTATATTTAAGTATATTAGATCTTTGTTATAATTAATACTAATTAGAGTATCAAAATTTTGTTGAGAATAAATAAGAAATCATATATTATATATATTTTGCAAACTAATTAAACTAATATTATCAACAGTAATATTTAACAAAAAGAAACTATATAGTCAACTAAGCTGAGAGCACTGGCCAGAATTATAAAAATATTGATTTGAATAATAATAATAATAATAATAATAATAATAATAATAAGTTAATAAACTTATATTAAACATAGATTTTTTTTAATGGTTGACTCAGATGTAAAATGTGTGTGCTATAAAGGGGTTATTTTTTCAACATTTTCAAAAGTAAAAACATAATCTTTCCTATAACCCTGACTGGTCCCTCCCACAATAAAATGGTGACTGTTGCTTAATAATAGTCAGAGAGCATTGTTTGGTCTTCTAAACAAAATATGTGGTATTGCAATTTAATATTTTTAAATATTACCGTGGCATTGTGAATCGTTATTCAATCACAAATTGAAATGGAAGCCATCTTGATTTTTAATAATTTTTTGGGGTGGTTTTTCTATTACTTTAACAAGAGATAGTACATATCTTTAATGCAAATAAAATAAAAATTTTTACATCATGAATAAAATACCAAAAATTATTATGATGGTAGATGTAAAAGTAAGTCTGGGCAATTTAAGAATATTTTTCTAAATTTAATAATTATATAAAAAAAAAAAAAGCACACACATACCAATAATACCACCCCAGCCACTCATGCATATGTTTTGTATTTTCATAAAAATGCTGAAAAAATACATACCCAACTAAAATAATTAAAGTATGGACAATAAAAGCAATACTGCATGCCATACTAAATAATTTTACCCCACTGCTTTAATAGCCCATAAATTCACTGCCAATTTTTTTTTTTTCCATAAAAAAAAAACGTATACCTAAATCAGAGAAAAGGGCAAAAATTCTAACATCACCTGGCAATTATTCACAAAATTCACACTCCATCAGTCAGATGTCACAATACAATACAGTGATACCAAATTATTGGAATACGGAAGAAGTAAAAATTGTGAATACATTTTTAAAAATGTGTTCGCTAAAATTATTGCACCCATGGTGTTCTCCTACTGCAAGTCAACAATAACAAGTTTAAAATTTAACCCACTGAATGGACAAAATCTACATGTTAAAAATATATATACAAGGACCCTTGATATAAATAGAAATGCAAATAAAATAGGATTTTTTGTTCAAATTTAAGAATGATTTGTGACAGGTATTTGAAAACAAAAAAACAAGGCTTTGAAAGCCACTCTAGGTATAATGGGATTTTATGTGTAACAGAAATGGTGTTAGAATTATGTTTGACGAATAAGCTAATTTGTAGTTTTAATGCATGTTTATGTCAAAGGTCAAGGCATGTAAACAAATAACATAGCCCAGAACAGAGCATGCATGTAATGAATATGCATAATACTCATTCTGTTTGTGTATGCATGTCTTCTGTTACAGGCTGCATTATATTGTTTGTTTATACACCTTGACCTTTGACATGCACATGCACAACTGAAACTACCAGATGGTTTTTATTGGGTTTGTTAAGAGTTATATGATTTTTTTGGGTGTTAATTTAGGATTAGTAAGGAACATTGATAAATAATCATCTTTTAAAAATTTAGTTTTTTAATAGAATACTATTATATACGTAATAAATTATTTAGGGACTTGGAACATTATTACGCGAAAATTTATTGTTTTAGCAGACAGAAGTTTATTACATTCATTTGAGTCTAGTAAAGGAAGGAAGTTATATGGGCATTCGGATTTATCAGAAGAGAAATCAAATCGATGGATTAGTGGCTTGATCTTTGCATCACCAAAGGGTCCCTTTAACACCACAAAATGAACATCCACGGTGCTGTTTATCTTGCTCTTCAAAATAAGCTGGTAACTTATCTTGCGCTCCCACATCAACGTGGGATTCCGGTGATCATCATTGACACGGGCCTTGATGACCCATTGCTGGCTGAGCGCGGAGAAACGTCCGGTTTCGTAGTACAGCCTCGTGATAAAATCATCGGTGCGATATGGTTTTAGTTGAAGATCTGAAAGAAGCAATTCTTGGTTGACGAGCATTCATAATCCCTTGATGGGATCACAATTGAAATACAGTGAAGAAATATAAATGGGTCATGCTTGTAAATTCATTCTAAGACATCAAATTTCAGATGTATTATTAAATCAATTATTAACAATTTTCTTAATATTTAGGATAATTTAATTAAATTTAATAATTTTTTATTTAAACCTTTTTAATTCTTTTCTTATTTGATAAAATTATAAATTGATTAATTATATATTGTTCACTTCTCTTCTTGTTTAATAAAATTATAAATTAATGAATTATATATTTATTATATATTACTTCTTAATGACCACACCTTAAGTCCTCCACTTAAGTGTGCTCTTGATTGTTTGTATCTTGTGCCAATTATTAATTATATTTTGTCATCTGATAACATTAGTTGTCATAATAGTGGAATTGAACAGAACTGAAGGTTGTATACCCCTATACATATAATATTACTGAATGTATCTGTTTAGGGTCATTGTGAAATAAATAGATTAATAATTAACTTAATGGAAAATAAAATAATAAATTTAAGTCCCCTTTAAAGAGATACAGCAAACCCAAATTTAAAGAAAATGCAAAAATTAAAGATTTTTGACTATAGGCCTTAATATTTAAAAAAAACCACATAATTATTAACTGTCAATTTCTAAAAAAGCAGTCTTCAATGATTTACAGATGTTTATATTAACTTCCCCTACCCTAAGACATGCTAAAAGTTAAGGGTAGTACCTGTATATGCAAAGACAAGGAATACAAATGGATTTTTTTCATCGACCTTTTTTTTTGATGAGGTCAATTTTTTTGTAATTTCCTGTTGAATTAGTTTTGTATTTCAACAATAAACAGTGAGCAAATCAATTACATTATTAAATATTTACATTTGATATTAAATGGTGGCAGTGTATCATTAAAATGGTATGGTATTCAATTTGAAGACTTTGTAGTAAAATTCATGTAAGTTAAATTATAGTGTAATAACCATTAAAGTGACATTTTAATTGTTTAATACAAAAAAGTATATTGTTAATTTGTCTAATTTTCTAAGATCTTGTGTTTTTTCATCAAAAATTATATATTATTATAACAAAATTGGCAGGTAATAAATTTTTAAGCCTTTTGCAGTTAAAATGTCTGTAAAACAGTGAAAATGATACTTTTGTTGATAACTTTTAAACAAGATTTTCAATGTTTGAATACAAAAAGTATACTGTTCATTTGTCTTAAATTGCTAAGATCTTGTTTAAAATATTATCCATGATTTTTATTATAATTTAAAATATTACTATTATCATGTAGTATTAATATGATGGCTCTTGAAATACTTTAATTTGATTTTAAAACAAGGGTAACACCCGCAGCATATTACTAATATATGCATCTTTTTTTTTTTTGCTTTATGCAGAAAACGAGCAGCAGGAAATTTCAATAACCTTTGGCTAACCCCAGCCGACTTAGGTAGTCAAATATTTGGCAAACATTTCCGGCAAAATTACACTCAAATTTCTGTTGGCTCTCATCCATGTTTAATTATCTTGCAAGTGGGATGAAATTAATGATGATGTTTTGTAATATGAAAGGAATTTCAAAAATATGATTAATAGGGTAAACATGGATGGACCTTTTAGAAAGGAAAACACCCATTGGCAATACTCCAGGAAAAAAATAAAAATTAGTATATTATCTATTTTGTCAATATATAATTTTAAAATAATATATAAAATGAAATAAGTATCTGAATATCTTTTACACAAGGGGCACAGTTTTTTCCTGTTATTTTAATTACTTTGCAGTTTAATAGGGTGGGACTTTTTTCTACCTTGTTTCAAGACTTAATTTTTTCAAAGATTGTCAGTGGACGGGGAAAAAATAAATATAAAATTTTGTTTTCTTATTTAGCATATGCTTTTGCCAAAAACATCAAGATGGAGGAGGAAATAAAATAAAATTGTATTGGTGAAGGTAATCAGTGTAGTAATGGGATGGTTAAATGCTTTAAATTTATATAATTAGGAAGAAATATTATTTTGATTTCAAAGGCAGCTTTGAGTATAATAAAAGTTCTGAAATTTCAATTCTTTTCGTGGCAGTGGTTGCCCTAATTGGCCAAATATAAAATTTAATTTATATTCTAAATCATCAATATTGCCGGGCGGTGGGTTCGCTAAACAAGGTACAGTATTAAAAAGTCTTGCCTAGTTAATTGAATGAGTTGATTGAAATTTAGGTCTAAATGCTTTGTATTTTAAATGCCATTCTATATGGCAGTTATTTAATTATTAAACTAAAATTTTATGATGTTGACTTCTTTATAATGAACTATAGTTTTACTGTTTTTCATTATTATTATAATGTACTAATATGTTCAGAGTATATATTATTAACTCATTGTCATCAATGCATTCCTAATTTAGTTAAATTGTAACTTTTAGTTTAATTTATAATTAATGACTTGAACCAAGATGGCACAACTTACAGAGCTAGGCTTATGCTAGCAGACCTTACCATGATAGGTGATCTTCTCGAATGACAGCAGGTCAAATATACTCCTGAGCATCTTCAGTTCTTGACCTGCTTGGCGATCAATCTCATCGAGAGCTTTCATCACTTCCACCCCAGTCTTCTTGGGGTGAGAACACTCCTCTTCGTGATCGGCTAGCTTGTGAAACGTGCCCTGCCAGTTGCAGCCGATACGCTGATATTGACACTTTGTCAGTCTAAATCAGAGTGATGGAGTAAAGCTATAGAATTAGTGCTGTAACAGAAGTGGACGGTGGAAAAAATCAGCAGGCCCTGTTAGGGAAAAGGTGGTGGTTAGTGTCCCTAGCCTAACTAGGCCCTCTAACAGGTACTTAGCTAGCGTACTAACCTCCTCGGATGACATCTCTGTTGAAACACACGCTGTGGTTGAAAAATACTTACCTTTAAGCTAAAATTTCTGCACACTCGAAGCAAAACCGTTCACTGCAAAAGCAAAACAACAGGTTGGTAATCACCCTGTATCCCTGCGCTTTTCAGGCCTGCCGAAGGGTATGTCCATGTTGCCTTTATTAATTTAATTTCTTTTGAGTGGAGTAGGTTTCAAAACATTTTCATGTTGCATTATAAATTTTTGTATTATAAGTTTAATACACCTTTATGTTGGTGTTTCACTTAATTTTGTTTTTCTGAACTGAATTTGTTATTGCCAAATGAACCAAAATGAATATAAAACCTGAATTGATTGGCAATTGAAAAATGTGCTACCAAGTCTGAGCGATCTCAGACCTTGGATTTAATTAATTTATAAATGGTATGCATATTTTATGAGAATTCCATTTCAAATTGTTTTTGTCGATGTCAGTCATTAGTCAGTTCTGACTCATCAAAATAAATTGACTGTTCACAAATTTGAAAACATAACAGCCAAAAATGAGGATTAACAGCAGTGGTCCCAATTTAATGTACGCAAAATCTTTACTGCTACTGTAAATTCTCGTTTTTTGGCTATTGTGTTTTTGAATCCGTCAGAAAACAAGAATTAACAGTAGTCTTAATTTAATGTACACAAAATTGCGATGAATTTTGTAGGCAAGCATTTCCGTCCCAGGAAGTCCTGTTTTGTTTGGTGTGACATCTCAACTCCACAACGTCCCGTTTTCAGCATGCTCTCCGTCTTGCTGCATCTAATTCCAGAATCGCAGCACTGCCCCTAGTTTTAGGCTTGTTATTAATCTATTTCTTACGGGATCTTTACACAGACGGCCAGATGCTCGTACGGCTCAAGTACACAATCACGCATCACTGAACACACCCTCTGCCACTTTGGCTGTCACAATTCTTACGCGACAAGAAGGAAATATATTTTAAACTCAATTCCGCTGATCAAATTTGAGCAATTTTATGGTCACGCATTTTGTACATCACATTTTTTCACAACACACCAATCAAGAAATGAATGAAAATTGGTGAACAAAAATATCTTTTGAAAAATAAATGATAAATAGGTACTAAATTAAAATTTTACCTTTCCAAGCAATCATATTTTTCATGCCGTTCGAGCATGTTTCTCGGGAGACTCCGTAAGCAATACTGGCATTCCGACGGCAGTTCACTGATAGCCTTCTCCACCGCTAGGTTGCGACTGCACAGGTTTTTGTTGATTTCGCATCGGCAGTTAGGGCATGTTGCTGTCTCATCTTTCAGTCTAGCATCAGCAAGAAGGTGGGTAAAACACCCTGCACACATCAAATGCCCATTGATACACTGGAAAGATAATAAAAATTCTTAATTAAAATGTTTACAGTACAAATGATGAAAATATATCTTCTCCAGTTTGCTTTCTGATGTTTTTAATGTATTTTATATTGTATATATTTTTATGATGGTGCCAAATAAAAGAAAGAAAGAATTCCCATTTATGGGTACCAGTAGTGTTGATTCAAAGTTCAGCATTCTTTTTATTCTAGTCATGTGTTGTATGGATGGATACTGATGAAACTGGCTTTCCCGGTGCAATAAGAATACAGAAAAATTTAAAATACAAGACAGATTGCCCAAAAACACACACTGAGAATATGGACAGAAATCTCGGACTGTTCTTTTCTCCAATGTCTGAATAACACAGTAGTATTAAAAGTAAATATGATCCTCGAGCCATTCGCATGAAAAATGTCTTAATATTCATAAAGCTGTAGGCTACTGCAAGTCACCTATAAGTAATGTTGTTAATGTTGATTATATTACAGTACAGGTAACTACAGTAAATATAATTTTGAAAAATCTATATGATTTAAAAATATTTGTAGATTGTAATAATTTATACAATCATTCACCAAAATTTTTCACAAAACAAAAAATATTTAATGCAGAATTTTTAACAGATATAATACAATATTTGAGCTGAGCAGTATATAAAAAAAATGATCCAAATTTATAAATTTATATTCCATATTATGGGATGAAGAAAGCAGTTCAAAAATAGGTCAGTCGCCTACTATCACCATGAAGGATGACCGAATGTGGGCCTAAAATATTTTTACTAGATCATCTCAAAGAATACCCTTTCCAAAAAATGGAATAGACTCTATATTAGCATATCTGGAAGTGTGCCAGGTTGCAGACTGAGAGGTCAAATTGGTTAGCTGTTGGTCAATGGTTGAAATAGGTAGTATAGTGTTGTTAAAATGCACAGCCTTTGCTTGCTGCCCAGGTTTAGACTTGTATAAGTTGTCATATTTAAAAATCAATACTGTGTTGCCTGCATAGGTCAATTTTCCTTAAGGCAATTAATAAAATTATCATAGTAAACAGCTTGCTGTACTGTTTTACCTCAGTTATTTACAATTTTTGAATAAAAAACCACAAATACTTTGCTGATTCAGAACAAAAAAATGATCAAAATGGTGCGGTGAATGGGGCGTGTCATTCATTGAACAAAAGCACTATTGCTGTTTATAATATTCATTCACTTTAATTAGGGATTTTATTGTTTTTGCATCTATTTAAGATACAAATACACTCTTGGGAAATACACTTAAATTTTGAAATAATTTTTTAATCATTATATAAAATAATGAGAGTTTTCAACATATGGTAGGCCTATAAAGTATTCATATAGAATACTATGTTTAAAATACACACACAAATTAATCAATGTTGCTGTGATAAAATGCATTTTAAAACATTATCATCAAATAAGTTTGTTTGTTATTGTTGTCAATTATCATATCTTTTAGCATGATCTAAAATACTGTACGTGCACTTGTACAGTAGATAAATAAATTATAAAGCAATTAGTTTTATTGGATAAGACACTTGTAATTTTTATTTCTTCTTTGCAAAAAATTTAAAAAAAATTGATGAACCTGTATATTATAACGTTTGATCAAGCATTTTCAGAAATATGACAACGTGTAATATACCTTGCTCATATTGGAATTAAATTCCAGAGTTATTAAATAATACTACTAGAGTGCCAACTCCAATGCATTTAATGTTCGAAATATGCAGATCTGTGTGAGTGTTTGTACTCAACAAGATCATGGCTGCCGCAGATCTAGCCAATCAAAATATCGCCTAAGCAATTTAATGTGAAAGTTTTGAGTACAGCTAAGTTAGCCGTTGTTTAAAATTAAAGCGTTGCGAAGTTGCGGTGTAGTGAACACGATTTCAATTTTCATTCCTCAGTACTATATTTTTAAATCAGATACTCCACTAGGCCTCTTTTTGGCTATGATAGTTTAATAATTTATTAATATCATTAATAATAATCATTAATTGAGATAATAGTAATAGTCAAAGGTCTTATTTATGTTGTAAAAATGTAAACCAAGCCTGAAGGTGGCGCTTTCCTATGGCAGCCATCTTGTTGAGTACAAGTATCCATACAACTCTGCATTGCCTCGTCGCCTAGTCAGCACTCTGGTTGTAATTATAATAGCTACATGGTGAATTCACACGTCTTGATTGGTGGAATAACTGAATGTCAACTGAATGAATTATGAAATGCCAGAGGTTATAGTTTTGTGAATTGGCATAAATGATTACGTCTCCAAAGATTCTCAAATTGAAATTTAACCATTCAATATACTGAAGTACGAGCATTGCGTTCATCAACAGTGCAAAAGATCAGGGTAGTTTTGTAGATTTGGCATATAAAGCATCTGCCCACTTTGTTAGAAACCTGAAGTCAACGATTGTAAATCCAGAGCCAACAAAAGCTACAATTTAGATCGCTAATACAATACAATGCAAGTGATACTATTTAGAAAATGCATTTTTTATCTATGGATTGAAAAGCTGAGAGGATTTAGTAAAAGAGCGAAGACAAGAAAATGATAGGCTCTAAAAAAATAAATATACAAGAATGTGTATGGAAAAATAGGTGTGGGTTGCAGAATGGAGGTAGAAGTTACAGTCACTGAATAGAGGTCATAAATTAATTAATACATCCAGGGTGATCAGATTATCCAGCTGTTGGGTACCTGGATAAGGACAACGCAAAATACATGTTTGTGACATAATGAAGCAGCCATTCCTTATGCTCTTTCCAGACTATCAAAGTTTATTTGATAAAAAAATGCTGTATACCCATATATAGTCATGACATGGCCTATATATGGTCATGATGTGATGTCATCATGACCATATTTAAGCATGTAACATATGTTTTTGTCAAATAAAATTTGATAGTGTGGTAGGGCTTTAAACTGGGTGACAATGACATTCACAATGTCTAAAGCCACAATGTCACTGCGCCCGACGCTATTCTTATGGAGAACGAAATGCTACGACGAACGCACAACGTATTGTTTTTAATGACGATCCGTTCAGACTACCACTGACAATCAGCAGACGGTGTCACATCGCCGAACGCTCGCAGAGAGCGGAGCTGGATTCGTCACCCCACAGTCGTACGACGCAGCGAGTGCTCAGCATAATGATCACTGATGATGAGGTCTAGTGTCAACTTTTTCAATGTTTTGTTGCGAGTTATATTATCATTATTTATAATAGAGTAAAAGCAAGTTCATCCCCCAGGAGATAATAGGACCTATGGCCCGAATTTGCGAGGGTGGCGGTTTGCGGGGGTAGGGGAGATTGTTAAAGGGTGTTTCCCTACTTGGATCCTGGGGCTCTGAGCCTCTAGTAGAAACTAGGCCTATGTGGGTTTTTTTTGTTTTTTTTTGCAATTTTAATATCTCGGCTATGATTTCACACTTGGTTGATTAGGAAGCAAGTGCCCCTTTCGCCAACCCATGCCCATCATGGACTTGCCACTTTTTGAATGTTCTTTAATTCATTCATTTTAAAGGTTTTAAATAGGTTAGGCTTGTTTTAAAATAACTGGTGAAACTATATCTTTCTATTTGCATCTGACACGTTATTTTATACCCTTTTAGGCCCTATACAAACAATTTGCTTGAACTAAAGAATGAGGGATCGACCTTGCTGGCCTAGCCTAGGACAGGTCTAGCTAGGCAAGGCCTACTACTACACGGTACACCCAAAACTCACTTGGTAAACGACTGCAGTTGGCAAATCTAAACAAACAGAACAACAGAGGATTCCATTCAACCTCTCCTCCAGTTGCTCCTCTTTCTGTAAAGGCCGTTTTTCTTCACTTTTTATCTTTTTCTTTACTGGCTCTCCCAGGTCAATATTTGTGTCATCTTCTACGCTGGAATTTGGAACTTCCTGAACAATTTCAACTGATGAAACAGCTGGCTCCGACGCCATGATTAAAATATTATTCAATGGTTTGTTGACGTTTTTGCAGATCCCTTTAAATGACGTTATGGACAGCCAATCGTTACGCAGATCTATTATATTCAAATGATTTGTTGAATGAACCAATCCAAAGGAGTCATCCAAATAGCTGCATGTATATTCAACAACGTTTCCATTCCGATAATAGGTAAATATTTAATTAACATATATGATAACATAATAAATACCTGTTTATTGACATCGAATATTTAGGAAACAAATTATAACATAAGGAATTTATGTTCTTCACTATTACATTAAGTATTGATACGAATATGCTAAATAAGAATATCTTGAAGTTGAGAACATCCCTGTACCACACCCAAAAATGGACTTAATGTGTCAGCTTGTTAAACCATGCGAAATAATTGCAGCCACGTCACGAAGTACCTCACGTGCATTTGTTTACGTGGAGGCAGTAATGTTTGTTTTTTTTTTTGCAAATGATGTCAGGAAATACAGGCACACTATTGAGGAATACGAATAATTGTTATTCATAAATGGCTATTACTATACAAGGTTAATCAATACAAGCTATTTTTACGAGGTTTGATAATACTGTACCAGCGTTAAAGAAAGCAATCCTCATAAACCCACAAGACACTGTGCTGTTGCATAATACTGTATCACCCTGTCATTATTGTCAGCACATTCTATTACCAAAGAGGGGTACTTATAAGATGTGCGTGTCGATTTTTGGGCTCAAAAAAAGAAAAGAAAAAAAGAAACAACTGTAATAACCGTTCACGTGTTATTTATTCACAAAAAATATCACCCAAAAATACTTGCATATGGAATGAAGAACGAATTTTAGTTCATAGAAAGGTTTCTCATAATAATACTGTAATCATTACTCCAAAAGAGAGGAAAATGTTAACAGTTATGCAAAACGTCCAATCTTGGATGAAGAAAATCATAGTACATTTACTTGTAGAAGAGAAAATCACATTAAAACAAACTTTAGTACTGTACTGATATACAAACCAGTAAAATATTCACATTTTAATATATTTCCTATACAGTACAATGGGATGAGTGAATTCATAAAATAATTTCAGATAAATATTTTTGAAAGGGAAATTTTTCAAGTCATACTTAGGCCTACACACACTAATTCCTTACAGGGACACCTTGATTTTTCTTGGTATAGGCCCTCATGAAAATGAGACAATTTTGTCATTAATGTACTGTATCTGGCTTTCATAATTACTAACCACCATATTGTTAACAATTAATCATATGCACCACACATCATCTTATTTACATATACTTAAAAAACACATGTAAATATTATAGTTCAATAAATTAACAATTAGGAATAATGACTTCATGACTCAAAATTTAAAAATGTGTTATTTCATTTTAATAATTATCAAAGTGAACTGATCATGGATGGCAAAACAGATCAATATTTTGTGAAAATGTATGAGAAATAAATTAATCTAAATAATCGCAATTAGTTCATAAGGTATTTAATCTTGTAACATAAGATTTTAATCAATAATTAAAGTAAACATAACCATTTCAGAGATGAAAAAAAAAACACCAACAAATTGTGAATTATAGTACTAGTGTTGATATAACACCATGATATATATTGTATTTCAACAATTAGAAAAGCTGCTTCAGGACAGCATTGCATCATCATTTATATTAGAAATGATGGTAATAAGGTGCTTTATGGAAAGAGTTGCAGTAGATTTCAAAAACTGTAATACAGTAGTATTCTATAGTCTTTATATGTAGTGAATCATGGATGACGTTTAGTAAGTAGACAATGCAATTCCCTAAGTACTTGTAGTACATATATTAACAATTTTAATTTAAAAAAATATAGGAACAGCACTTAAAACATATTTTATTCCACAATTTTATATATATGCACTGGCGGATTCAAGGGGATGGCACAGCCACCCTCCTTGAAAAAAAAAAAAAAAATGAAAAAGAAGATTACATTCAAATTTCAGAATAAATTTAAGAGTGCCATTTTTGTCCATTTAGAGGTACCATGCTAGACATAAAATTCTCTGCCCCCAACAACCCTCCTTCCTTTCCCCGTCTATTTAGAATCCCTGGATCTGCCAGTGACACAGTATGTTTATCACACATACCACCTAAAGAAACCACACAAATGTGCAATATTGCAGAATAAAATGTTGCCACTAGTGCCATTCCTATATTTTGTTAATTGTGACATATAAACTAATATGGCTGCTTGTTTTATATTCTATAAGACTCTGGATGTTGTATTTCCTTTTCCGACGCCATACGCACTTAAGAAACTTCACTAGGATGATGCTGAAATCCACTGTAAAATTGCAAATTTTGATATTCCCTTCCTCCTTTGGTTTGCATGTCTCCACCCATAGATCAGGAGGCCGTGACTCTACATGGAAGTTCACTCGTCGCCTGAGCCAGTACTGCGCTTGGTGCGGCGACGTGGAGACCTGCGGGGGGAAGGGGTCTTTTCTGCAAAAAAAAAAGAAATGTAAATAAATACAAGTAACGGATGGTAAACCAAGACAATAGCAAGCTATTTTAAAAGTTTACCCGTTTTTTTTTAAATTGTTTTCAGGCAGCAAAATCAACAAGACAAGCTGGATATTCTGTTTCAGCAACAACCTGAATGCAATTCCAAGCACTATCGTTCCACTTTGCGAGGTCAGGGACTCTCCATTCTTTCTCCGCAAAAGGCCACCTTGGCAAGAGTTACTTGGTATTAAGTACTACACATACAGGTATAATATTTGGAGCACTCCCGGCTTAAAATTTGAATATAATTTTCTTTTATATCTCCATTTTTTAAAATGTTTGAACAACTTGGGGGGAGGGGGGAGCTGGACCGGCTGGGCTCCCCTTGAATCCGCCCTCAATGTAATTATGCAAATTTTGGAATACAGCTAGGTTATCTTGTATGTTACATTTGATTGTGTACAGTAACGTTGCACTGTACTTAAAACATTTATTCTACTTGGCCTCTTTTCAGCTTGTCTAGGTTAAAGACAGGCTCCCACCAGGAGAGTACATATACTGTTTGACAGCTTGGGTTTTTTTTTTAGCTGCTTTTAACTGACGGCAGTGGTAAGCCTAATTACATATTATATCTGTTTTCTCCTAGGACAGGCCTGGGCATAGCATCATATTTCCTAAGTTCACTAAATAAAGCCAGATCCAAGACTCTTCAACCTCGCGAAAAAGCAAGACTTCATTTCTATGTTTAGCATATGATGCAAGGCAGGGAATCCCCTGCCATATTATGGCTATAGCTTGCAGCGCCCTTGCTAACCGCTCGGCCATTCGACTCAATAAACTAAGTCATTTTAGTGTGAACGAGTGTGGACTGTTCAAAATTTTAAACTAAAATCAGAGTAATTTTCAGTTTTATACTGCCTCATCTTTATAGTCGAACTACTCAATCTTTAGGCAACATCAACCCAGAATGAATTGCAACAGAAATATTTTATGTTCCTTAAATATCCACATAACATACTAAAAAGTTGGAAAAAATCAATTAAAGGAACATTGTTAATTTTAAAGATATTTAATGAGTTAATTCATCGCACTACTCCTGTGTTGAAGCGTATAAAAGCCTGTTCTTGCCAAGTTGTTCATAATGAAAAAAATGTTAATAATAAGATACACGTCCGCACACGCAATCCAAAAGGCGGGGAACACATCGGTTTGTCGTTTCAAAGGGATCTGTGGCCGAGTGATCGCCTTCTCATTAATACCTCCATGTTTATAGTAGTTACATGGACGGGGACAAAACTTGTACTTACTTTGGATAAGTGCTTCCTTTGGGATCCAGTCCATATCAACATCATCATGGTTTTGTGTGCCCATTTCAACTGGTTTTGGGGAAGTTTTGCGCTTTTTCTGTGTATAACACAAAAGACAAATATATAAATGACCAATCTTGCACAGTAAACATGATGCATATTTTGTCAAGTTTGTCACGATTTGTGAGGTGGGGCTTTAGTGGAAATGTCCACTTATTGTTTACACTTTATAAAGCGCAAATTACTGTAAGCTAACCCACGCCTCCGCCCCACTGTTCCCTCCCCAACATTTTTAAAGAGAAAACATTCCTATGATTTCTTTAAAGACAAATTGTATGATTGAAAAGAAAAACACCATGCTTCTACAATCTAACTCATTCGACAGATCAAGCAATTTAATTATTATTAAATGATTATTGATTGTTAATGAACATTATATTATGAAATTAACAAACATTTAGATTTGCAAAAACACTTAAAAAAATAAAATATTATCTACTTACACCAAAAGAAGCAAATAATTGCTGAATACCAAAGAGGCAGAGGATGACCAGAGCTCCAAGGAATACATACATGAAAAATCTGAAAAAAATTTAGCAAAAATCAGTTGCACGATAAAGCACAATCACAATCTGAAATCATGATCAATGCTAAGATGCATCGTTCAAACATATAAAAATATAGGCTAGCAATTATCGCAATGTTGATGTCTCAACATTTGGATTACATCTAAATCTTGACAATGTAATAGGGTTCGAATTTCCCCATAGCAATTGCTGTAGAAAGAGCTTTTTGTTGTAAATCCAAGGCTAGACAGCAAGCTTCTTGCTGTTGAGTTTCCTCATCCTTATACATTTACACATTTATTACATAGGCCTATTCTTAAAACAATTTATGAAGATTGTTGCTGTAGAAGAATAAATTGCTGTAGAAAAGCCACAGCCCACAGCAACTATTTGCTGATGGAGAAACTTGAAGCCTAAATACACCAGTGCAAGAATAGCACTGGTTCTTATGACATCAATACACACACTTCCATACAACACACCCAGAAAATTTAGCTTCAACCATTGTGCATGCCTACTGAGGAAAAGCCTCCATTTTTGTATAGCTTTTGAGGTTTCATATTTTAGCCTAGCAAATTTCATTCTAAACCAAAAATTTAACAAGGTAACCTAATGACATATCACCCATAAGCAACTTACGTTTCAGTATCTAGGCCTTCATCAATCTCAATCATTGTAATGGTTTCATTAAATACTGCATCAAAGAATAAGTTATTCTCCTGTAAGTACAATTACATCAGAATTTACAGTTAGTGTACATTTCATCCACTGTTACAGTACTCATCATCTTCATTATGGACAACAAAGACTTGTTTCTAATGGTGTCCCAGTAGTGAATAGACCTTTTCGCCAAGCCCTGCCTTTTGGATATTGTTGCTAAGGTCCACACAAGCGACAGTGTAAAAACATACACATGTTTGTGAGAAGTGCGCATAGCCAGTTCAATTGCCACTCTGGAAAGGTTCATTGGGCAGTAAACCAGAAGAAAATCCTCTAATTTAATAAAGAGCGCCCCCATGGCAAGTTGAATGGCCAAGCAGTTAAGGCAGGGCCCCATAATATCAGCGCTGGTTCTGGTGGTAAAAAAAGACTATAAACCATACACCCAGTGTTCACAATCTGGCTCATGCCAACTTCTTAGAAACAAGTACATCGACGAGTAGGGTTTACCCCGGTGGACTGGTCCATTCAGCCCCTGTTGTTGACAGACGAGAGCAGCTGGTACCGGTTTACCAGGTAGACCAGACATGAAAAGACCTTTAGGGGAGAAGCAAGTTATTGTGAGAGCTAGTCCACACCTCGGTATAAAGCCCTACATAAATCTAACTACATTTAAATCAGCCGTATTGCATATTGGACAAAACGATAAACGTCTCATCTAAAAGCAATTCGCTATCATACCTTGTAATGTAATTCGATTTATATAGCGCTTTATACCGTCTCGAAGTGCTTGAGGTGTGGACCAGCTTGTACAGTAACTTTCTTCTCGCCAAGGGTCTCTTCATGTATGGCCTACCTAAACTGGTACCAGCTGTATCTCGTCTGTCCACAGTAGGGGCTGTATTAACCAGTACAGTGGGGTAACCCCCAATCGTCTCGAAAAAAGTGCACGAGCCAAATTGTGTACACTGGGCATATGGCTTATAGTCTTTATCCGAGAAGACTTGTTCCACCACCAGAACCAAAGCAGGCATGCTGTTGGGATCAGTAATTAAACAACAAACCAACTTTCAGCAGACATAGAGTGGCTACAAGATTTCCAATAGGAGTGCACTACATTCATTCTTTATTCATAGACATCAGATCTGAGAACTAATTATGATCAAATAATACCATAAACAATTCCCTCTCATAGTTCTTCAAAATATGCACAATATTATATTGTTCCATTGCAGAAAGATACTTACTTCATCTTTGTAAAAGAGTTCTACTACAAAGCCAAATGCACGAGTTGCGAACACTTCATACACTTGAAATTGGTATTCAAGCGTTGCTTCCTTGCCAGGTTCAACCACAGTGTTGTACGCAATTGTTGAAAACTGAATGAGACAAAAACAAACCAGTAATCAATTAGATAATAATTAAATTCTGGTAAACAATCATAAGCATTAGACAGTTTTAAAATGGAAGGATATAGTTGTGTGTAACCATAGAGAAAATAGAACAGAAGGAGTAACATCGACTTTATCGCTTATCTTTAATCCAATTAAACAGTCAGCTAGTGCCTATTAAATTGCACTACGGCCACCCGCGGAGCTTATCACAGCACTATCTCTTTGTACACACAGCTCCTCGCCGCTTAAGTGTAAACCCCTATAGACGCTCTGGCGTTAGTGGAGTACTTAATACACAAACATTTAAACATTAGAATTAAAAAACACATGCGCAGTTCATCATCCACGGTTTGTTTGTGTGCGTGTTTGGTATATTCAGACAGAATTTTTTTCGGCGAGAAAATGCATACTTTAAACGTCAAAATCGGCTTAAAATAACTGTTTCTTTTATCAGTTGTAAGTCTGTCTCTTATACACATCTAGATGTGTATAAGAGACAGCTATAGGCCTAATTACTGCCTAGGGCCTAGGCCTAAATCGATATTTCAATCACGACGATCTCGCTCGCGATACGTTGCTATGTTATGATTGTAAGAGTTATCGACGCATGCGCGTTTGCCGATTTCTCCTTATCTTGTTGTCAAGTAGGTTACGTAACGGTGAGATAATTACGATCGCGGCGAGGAGGTCTGTACCTTTGATCTTCGCTCGATGTTACTCCTTCTGTTCTATTTCCTCTATGGTGTAACTTGAAGCAAGCCCTAATATCATACTAGGTGCTCTAGTCACTGGTAGCCAAATATTCTATCAAAGAAAGGTTAATAATAGTACACTGGTGGTATTTATACAAACCTATCTCATTACATGCACTCTGAGTAATGCTTACGTCTTACAGAAGTGCCACTAAACATTGTTTCTGCTATAAATTAGGGTTTGAGTTTCCTCAAAATGCTTCATCAGTAAATAGTAGCTGTGGGTTATGGCTTTACTGTACAGCAATTATTATTATTCTACAGCAATGAGCTTCATAAATTGTTTTAAGAATAGACCTATTCTATAAATGTATATTCAATTCATTGCTGGGTCAGGTGACTCAACAGCAAAAAGCTTGCTGTCAAGCCTGGGATTTACAACAGCAGTGGTAGGCCCTTTCTACAGCAACTGCTGTCGGTGCTATGGGACAATTCGAACCCTGTAAATATGTGATTGATTGATAAAATGTAAACACACTACAAAAGTATGCTTAAACTATTATGTTCCATTATGTGACAAATTGATGTGATTTGCCCAAATATGGGCGTAATAGTGTCATATCACACTTGAACATACAAATCATACTTGTCACAAACCAATTAATAGTATAGTCAGAGCTACACTCATAATTGTCCTCAGATTGTTGTTTGAAATCATGTCCACAATGCAACTGACCATGGGTTCTATAAACAAACCAACCAGCACAAGTTGAACTCCACTAATGATGGAAATACTCCACCAACAAATAAAGCACAACAGATTCTGAATGGACCATGGGCAGGTACATGGTGGAATCAGTCCAAATGCCTACAATTTACATCACTGGACACTAACACCATCAGAATCCAACTCTTGTTGAAAATAAATTTACAGTTATACAAAAAAATTGCTGCAGAACAATTTAAGTACACACACATTTTAAGTTTAACTGTATATACATGTAGCAAAAAAAAAAACAAAAAAAAAAAACAATTATAGTTCTCCCTCCAATTGGACATCAGCCTGGACATTTATGGTGTTCTTAGGGTTCAACCTCCAATTAGGAATTTGTTTTGTGTTAAAAAAGCTTGTTAATTGGCACTTAGAAAAAGTGGTCTTGGCGTCTCGGAATTAGAAAGGTTTCGAATTGGTGGGAGCACTGTATATTTCAATATCTTTATTTTGTGAAGTGCATAGAAACTTATAGCATTATGAGCCATATTACTTATTATTATTATTATCCTCATCATTTTTATTATTATTATTATTATGTTTGATCTACATGCATGTATTGTGTGCATTTTATGAAGTAAACGTTCCTGCCAGATATCTCCCTTTATAGACAATGAAATAATCTTGAATGGCAATAGTAACAAAACTGTTTACACATAATAATTATTATTATGTGTAAGCAATGTATCATTGTGAATAAATTGAGTATATGCTTACATTGTGGATGTGGTAGCTAAACTCTTGTGGATATCTCAATGATGCTTGAACTGTATCCAGGATGAAGTCTTTACTGCCTTTGTTGCTAAATCCAATGAGAAGTTGAATAGGCTTGCTTACTGGAAGCTCTGCAAATCAAAATGGAAATGTTAAAAATAGTAATGGAAGAAAGAAAGATTTGATACATACAATAATATAGGCTTAAATATTTTCAAGGGTGGAAAGGAAATGCAGAACAAAGGGTAGATTAATTTGTAAGGAGTATGTTTAAGTTTTGTAAACCTCACATTTTCCACACTATCAAATTTTAGGTAACAAATTTGTGTAAAGTGCTCATATATGGGTATGATGATGTCATATAACACCCAAATATGAGCATATCATGGTTATTTTTTTTAATTTTTTATTCAAATTTCTGCCAAGCACAAAACAACAAACAAATTTACAAAAACATAGCAAGGAAAGACCAAACAGGTGCTAAACACCTATGCAGGTTGGTCAACCCAAAACAGTACAGAAACAGAACAATTACTCTCTACAAAAGGAACATCTACACGAAAGTGACCAACTACAAACATTTTCAACATCAAAATTATTTAAGAAATAGTTATTAAAATTTGATAGTTTGGACAAAGCTTTCGGCTACATCATAATTTTTTTTTATTTTTGAGATTTGTTTTTTTAAACAAGTGTATAAATTACTTATTTCAATCTCAAGTCTGCTCCAAAAGTAATCAGCCATAAATTGGACACTCAATTTTTTTTTAAAAAACAAGACAAATGTACGCGGGTGAAACTTGAATTTTACAATTTTTTCGACTATGTACAGTAATGTACCATACGTATATTTGCTATAGCGTCCAAAGAAAGTCTCAATACGCTGTTAGTGAAAAAGAAATTTTGAAGAAAAGTTGAAAAAAGATGCAAGAAAGTAAGTAAAACAAGATTTTTGAAAATGTTGAGGAGGGGAACTCAGACAGCGAACTTAAATCGACAGGGAATTTCATAGTAATAGCGCAGAAAATGTTCGGTCAACATAAGATTTCAATCAACTAGATCTTGATGGAGTGTGAAGAGCAGCTGTGCTGGTGGTAGGTCTGAGTGAATGGCTGCACTGACTAGACCCAAGATTAACTAAATTTTCAATGTAAGATGCAATGCCATATGTTCATCCATCCTGCTGTACATCGTGCGTCAATGATTTTAGTTAATGGCTATACATAATACTTTACCTTGTTCAGACCACTTAGTGAACAGATAAGAGACTTCAGCATCTGGTGAGGGTTTCAATCTTTCTTCTTCCTCCTCTTCTGTCTCTCCTTCCGCTTCTGCTGCAGCAGTATCATCATCATCAGTTTCTTCTCCATCGCCTTCCCCTTCTTCTTCTTCAACCTGGGCATCTTCATCTTCTCCCTCAACAATATCTTCTACCTTGTCATCTTCCTGAGCTGTGGCCACTAGCGAAGCCTTCTTCTCTGTAGGAAATTCAAGTGTTGGATGAGATTTTAGAAGATAAAGAAGTACTTGCATGACTAAGTTCTATTATAGAAAAGAATGACTAGTAATGATGGAAACAGGACTATTCCATCCACAGATAAAGCAAAAACTATGGTGAGTGGGCTATTAACTATAGAAGCCACAGAGGAAAATCAATCAAAATATAAATATAATAGTACACTTCAAAATAATTACTGTAATAGGGAATGACAATTTTACAAAATAAGTTTCCTCAGATATTCATCTTTTTCTGTAGTTTAACATTCTCCAATTTTAAATACAATTTCATTATATATATATACTGTCTCGGGCAAGCTTGGAATCCCAAGCTTGTAAGCAACTTGTGCAAAAAGCAATCTTGATTTAAATTTGAAAGGAACTGTGGAACCAGACAACAGGAACTTAAAAGTGAGCTGGACTGAAACCAGACCTCAGCCTCAGTTCAGAAACCAAAGCTAGGCTAGGCCTACCTTATGTCATGCCATCGCCTAAAAAACAAGAAATAATGTAGGCCAATTAACACTAATAATACAGCTTCTCTACCTAGCCAGGATACTGCAACATTAGCATAAATGTTGGGATTAGAGTGCATAGGCCCATCAACGCACAGAAAAAAAAAGCCAACGTTACACTGTTCGTTGCACATCATCAGTCGTCGAGTCAATTTTAATATATTTCGATTTTCACAAACACACATACTGGACTGGACTGCTTCTAATCACAATATCAAGCACGCATAAATGTTTAACTTGATTAAATTAACCAGTACTACACCATTTTATTTATACTCGACCTGCAAGCCCTGAGTTGACATTCTTTCCGTGTAGGCCTAGCGTATGTAGCCTAGCCTCAATAGGTAGTTAAACTTTGTACTAAAGCTGTACACGTAGCACTTTTACCGGTGCAATCTGTTAGGCATACACACTTCGGTATAGTAGAATCAAAAGCTTACCATTTTGTGTTAAAAGAACAGATGCAGGCAAAACCAGCAACAAAAGCAAAAGAAACTTTGGCGTTAACTTCCACATTATGAAAATTATTTTTTTTAAGCCCCTATGGACTAGATGAAAGACGATTTAATCGACAACTCCGGACAAGTTCCGACTTTGTAACAGAGCGTCGGCCGAGAGAGAGAGCTCAGTTCAACAAGTTGATGAACGAGCCTATCATAACCTCACACAGGTCATTTTGATCGTCCAATCGCATCGCAGGAACATCTAACCAATCAAATAGCGGTGGATTTGTATTGTATATAACTCTTAATTATTATTTCCCGTTCTTTTTTTACTTTTCCGTTCACGTAAACAAAAACAAAATTTAATTTGTATTTTTTAAAGCACAAAATGAAAAAGAAATTACAAAAAAAACTAAATAGGCCTACTTTATATTTCATCAATTTTTTTAAAATTGAAATTTACATTGCTGGTTTGTCTAAAACAGCTTCTCAATGCTAAAGAACTAAAGTTAAAAAAAAAAATCTCAATTAAAAAAGGTGAAAGTTATCAAAACTTTAAATTCATTTTCAATAATTTTGATTTCTAATTTTTATATCCTTATATTGATTGCAGTTTGTTGTTTTGGTTATCTGTTGTGGTATTTTTTCTTTTTAAAAATTCCACTCTGTTTAAATAAGATTTTTTATTTGGACTGGGAATATATTTGGAGTGGCCAAGCCCCCAACGTTGACTATGCAGTCCAAAAAAGAGATGATCTTTTTAATTTTTTGTTGGGCTGTATTAAATTGGAGCAAAATTGCCAAGTTTTTTTTATGCACCACTGATCTTAGCCCCCTGGATTCCACCAGGGCTTCGCTTCCTGCCTCAATCAACAGTAACTCTCACCTGTCAGACAGCATAACATCAGGCGAACACTAGCATTACCACCAAAGGAGAGCCACATGGAGTGAACCATGTAAACAAAGGTTTGAGGTTCTACTTATCTATCTGTGTTGTCAAAAAAAAAACACCCTAAAATGAAATTCTTTTTTCTTATTAAGGAAAGCTAATTCTCGTTTTCAAACAACAGCACCATTATTATATTATATTATTATTAATTTTGTTGTTCTTATGCTGTCATGACTTGGTTGAATGTGTAGAATGTGGATTTAGATGCTAGTTATATCAAAAAATCCTTTTTTCCCCCTATACTGCAAATATAAACAAGCCGATCACATGGTTTAGCGAAGTACTGTACTGATTATTACTGTATTGTGAAAAATTATAGTGATAAAATATTTTTTCTCACAAAATTATCATACCATACAGTCCTGTACTATCAATAACAAACCCTTAAACTGGGGTGGTGCCGGTGGCCTATGGCTGATACAAGGAGGTTTAGGGGGTGTTCCCTTATCTATTGAGGTGCTGTCCAAGGGTCTACACCCATCAAGCTTTGCAGTATTAGCCATTCACACTGGGTTAGTGATATTTATGGCTGCTTTCAGTGGGGGGTAAAACATACCCATTTTTCCCACCCCTTGGATCCGCCACTGAATATATCTCTTGGGGGGGGGGGGGGAATTCACATTGACTTGGGTATGCATGTGTGTTACCAAAATCATGTAAAATGGGTTATTTTTCCCTAAACAGGCACGTAATTGTACGTTACATTTTTTATGGTTTTAAAAATGCTCAAATTGCTAAATAGGGTATCATAAATTATTAAGGAAATCAAGTGTATAGGGTCTACATCGCCGTGTATTAGACAGCGTCAGCCGACCCCTGACCAACACAGTGCAATCGTGCATCAGCATCGTGTCGGCAACTGCGTGTCTCAATGGGCATCCCACACAACAGTGCAACAAATTAATCGCCCGACGCACAGCACAATTCAGCAGTATTTTCCCCCGTTCGATTTTCTTTAATTCCCAACATTTAGGACCTTTTACTGATGCACCCAGATCTATAATCATCACCCCACACCCCCCACCCCTCAGAATATATCTTTAAAAAAAGAGCCTGTAAATACAATTTTATTATTCTTCTAAGCAGTGTACTTGCTGTTTATTTCTTAACAGTGAACTGAATGAATAACTAGAGTACATTTAACCATGGAGGAGTATATCCTCCATGATTAAACATATATCTCTTGTTTAACAAGTTTTCTTCAATATGAACAGCATAATACAATAAGAGTAGAAAATACAGTATTTACGTAGTAGTGTAACCGTTAAAAAGCACTTGAATTCACATCACGACATTTCCTTCCCAAAAACTTACTTTTCCTGACTCAAAATAGATTACAAATTTTAAATATGTATAATATATATATATATATTTATATAGATCTCTATAAGATAAAATTTGTTTGATGTTATTATGCTGATGTAATAGGGAATCGACTTCTACCTCAATTCATTTCAATTTCACAATATATCTAGTTGTATTGATTATTACAGTAAAGTCTGTAATTACCTTTTCATCATATGAAAAACGGCGACATCTGGTAGGTCCACCCCGTATAATTATCAGCATAACAACAATGTAGAAAACGCACACACCGTTTCTCGACTTTAAAGCTTATAACAATCCCTGCCTGTTTTTTAAGATGACGCATATCAGCTTAAAACTCAAGTTTATTTGATTGTTTTTTGTTCACACTGAATATGACTAGATAATACAATATTAACAAGATTCATTCACTGTGGTACAATTAAATAGGCAAGTTCATTTTGGAAATATGTTTATAGAATTGATATTTACAAATAATATCAATTGAGGAAAAAAAAAATTTAAATTATAAAATATATAAGAATTAGCAGTATTTCAGCTGTTATATTGTTGTTAAAAAAAAACACACAAAAATACTTTCAAATAAACTTGAATTTTAGGCTGAAGACCCATCGACACACACATCTACAGATGCTAACAGAGCATCTTCGTTTTACAACAAACCCACATATTTTCAAACTCAAAAAAATTCAAATCTTGGCAAGCAGCAAAGCTAGTTGTTGCATCCCTGTATATGGAGAAAGAGAGCTTAAATGATTAAGTATTGAAAGAGCAGAAATGGTAATTGTATACGGTAAAATAGCGGTCATGTATATTACCATCAATTCAAAGATGGTAATCATACCATAATACATATAGTACCATCATTATACCATATACCAGTAGAACCATCATACCAAATATTTACTCTCATCATCATACCATACCATACACTGATTGGTACTACCATCATATCATACCATGTTAATACCAATGTAACTATCATATAAATAATATTGGTAATACTACAATCATTAGGCATAAATCCTACTATAATGTAGTACTACCATCATGCCATGATGGTAGTAGCAATACCATCATACCATATACTGGTAAACTCACAACATATAATCAATCCACATAACAAGTACCATTATCATTACATAGTACAGTACCACTATCATACCGTATAGCACCATGAAACTCCTCCAATAATCTCCAACATAACTCTTACCATCATTTGATGCAATTTCATGGAATTAAAAACCAAGTTCCTTATACTTTGTCCAGTGCTTGTGTCAAATAACATTTACAGTACTTCATTTATGGTATCATATATATCCCTACGTTCACATAGTTAAAAGTTAAGCTTTAGATAAGAGCATGAAAAAGCAAGTACACACTCAACCTAATGCCATAGCATACAAAAACAATAACATAGCAGAACACAGTCTTCTCCACTCCACTAGTTGAAAGAGTAGCTGAATTTGTGACACAATTAACAAATAGACAAACAGCACTATTAACCTATTTCCATATGCTTTCACCGCTATTATATTTTTTTTTTATAATTATTTTTTTAAAGGTGATAAGGTCAAATGTAAAAAAAAAATGTTTCTCGTCCCATCTCTGATTAATTTCTTTAGCCTGCCAATTTTTTCTTTTTTTACTTTCACTAGGCAAAACGCCAGAAATTGTTTTTATAAGTAATGAGTGTATGTCTAGGCCCGAACTGACTAGGTTTAGTCCTTGTGTGTCTGTGTGCAGAATTAATTGAGAGTCATAGGTTTCCCAATGACATGGCCCAAGGTCATATTCTCTTGTTTTTGCGCCTGTCCTGCGCCGTATGACAACAGAGATTTGACACAAACCAGACGAGAACTCAAAGCCTTCGCATGTGCCGAAAACTTTTAATATGTGGTGTCAATAATATTCAGTATCTTGCAAAACACCAAAGTGCCAACTAGGCGAGACACTAATAAGCATTTTTGTATTTTTGCCTCTAAATTGGCCACAATCTGCCATGATTGACTAGAGCAATATATTGTATGCCACAGAGATAATTTGCATATTCAGTGTCACTGCACATCCTTTTCTCTTTTAACAAACCAGGACGAAAAACATGTTTTTCTTGATAGAATTTGGCATAAAAACAAAACACTTACGGTATTTAATAAATTTAGAAAAGCCATATACTGTATGTTGTAATTATAACTTTAACAATTAACTGTAAAATTTCAAACAAAATATATGGACTTCAGAAAATTTGGAAATTTACACTCCATGTATAAAAAGGTTTTCTGTACTGTACAGTATTAGTATTTTATACTGTTTTATATACTATAGATATAAACCAATTTACAGGATTGGTGAAATAATCAAATGTAATCATATAATGTAGCTGTTACCAAACAAGTTACTAATATCCCTTCTACTGCCTAACAAATAAAATCAAAGCAGGTTTTTTTTTTTACAACTCAAATTTAAGTTTGAAACCATCATGCATTTTAATGCTACTTTCCCCCACATTACAAACAATGATTCACTTAATGTACTGTATCTGATAAACGAACACTTGGCACAATCTTTATATAGGTTAGACATCCTCATCAAATCTCAAAATATTAATATTTAACCAAAGCAAGCTCCATGAATGTAGTGGAAAGGGTCACAGTTGGTTGGCACTTTTTTGTTTTGGCCACAATAATGAGAAAACCACTGGAATAATAACTGCAGTCGTACTTAAAAAGACTGCAGAGTCAAACAGAAAAAAAACTTCATACACAAAATAAATTATTTTGTTAATATAGGAAATTACCATGTCACTATATGCACCACATGATCTAATGACACCCCTTCATTACTAAACAATGCTACCCAAGCAGACGATACAGCCGAGTGTCTCTATGGTTAGCATCAAACTAGAGCCTTAATAGCCAGATCGAAAGCTACATTTAACCATATCCATTAGCATACGTGTGAGAATGCCTGATCGGTTCTAACCGTTCCCAGGAAGTGGATACGCTAATGGTTAGCGTGTTCTATCGGTTAGCAAGTTCACCTACTTTCAACCAGTCAGATGCATGCATTTTCAATTTCTTTGATATCTAGATCGGGGATCGCAAAGGTGAGCGCGTATGTTACTAATCTTAATTCTGCTAACCGTTAGATGCTCTGTGTGAATATAGCCTATAGCTTTTTGAACTGATGTACCTGTGTAAACCTAATTTACACATTGAATTTATATCCGTGCCTTGTGGTTTTGACACATCAGCTGAAACAAATTCTACAAATGTCCATTAGCTGTAGAGGCAATCAGCTGTTAAGTTCGGTATGGTATTATTTGCTTAGTAACAAGGCTTTATGTGCAAGCTTAACCAAAGTTCTGGCCACACTATTAAATTTTAAGTGACAAAAAAAGAAAAGTGATATGCCCATATATGGGTGTAATGACATCATGCCAATATATGTCCTGATCCCACTAATTTGTCACATAAAATTTGATAGTGTAGACCAAGCTTTAAGTATTGTACTATGCTACTGAAGTAGCCGAAATTAATTGCATGAATTGACTCAATTAGCAGTTTGACTAATTACTAAATGAAGCAGTAGTGTATGTGTTAAATAGGGAGTTTTCGCAACCTTACGAAAACGATAATGAATACGTCATTATCATTATCATCGTTTGTGCTTGTTGACTTGCGAAAACTCCCTAATATGAACTAAGTGCAACAAAACAGCCTAAAGCGCGGTCTGTAACAATATTTAACATCCTCAAACATTAAACCAGCTACAACACTACAGCATCAATATCCACATCATCTTGATTGCAACCACCTAGCATAGTTAACATATTGAATAATTATGAATATTCATGGCTGCTTTTGAATATTTATACTGATGATGATTTCTTGATATTATCTATTAATAGACACCTTGGACTTACTCACTATTGGACACTGGATCTTCAACAATGTAGACTATGGTTATTCCTAAAAGGTTATAACAAACCAGACGAATTCTAGGGTAGCAAAAGGGGAATTCCCTTACTGGTATGATTCATACTCTTTGGGCTTTAAAGCAACTAAAGGAAGTACAGAATTTACCTAGCCAAAAAAAAAATAAATAAAATTGTAGGATTGGGTCACTGTAATTATCGTTACCTAATCTATATACTTACATTCACATTATTATATTTTGTTTAAAAAGTATGGTTTAATTTTGATTTCTTTTTTTGTAAATACGAAAAAGCTATAAAAATTTGGTATGGAGACATATTTATAATAGAGAGGTTTGTGACTGAATCAAAGAGAAATGATAAAATTATATGAATGCTGTTGGAACCAGATATATTTTCAACTATGCTGATCATTAATAAAGAAATTATATTCAAGTGACAATAGTCATTACTACTAGCATGCTAGAGTATTTGTGTACTATAATCCCATCAACTTTTTGAGATGTAAAAAAAAATTATTAAAATCACATGGAGCAACCTTTGGATTTACATCCTGTACCCATTAATGTTCTTTATAATTTCCGCACCTATCTCTGAAGAATTTCAATATCTCTTCCAGTTTAACTGAACAACGGCAAAATGGCCCGAGGGTGAAATCAACTTCAGTGTGTACAAATATATATAGTAAAATAAAAAAAATGAAATGCTTACATCATCAATGTAATAATAATTAATACGCAATTTTATGTTTTGGTAAAATCACCGTATATTCCCGCATATAAGACAAGTCAATTAACAATAACAATTAACAATAAAAAAACAGGAGATCATCTATGTGCGCAACACATATGTTTAATTTTTAAATCCTGTTCGTCTTACATGCAGATTTACTACCGAAATGAAGCTACTAATGAACGCAATTTTAAATGTGGGGAAATAAGATTCTCCTCCAGAGTCTGGTACGCTGTCTCTTATACACATCTAGATGTGTATAAGAGACAGCCCATCAACTTTTTGAGATGTAAAAAAAAATTATTAAAATCACATGGAGCAACCTTTGGATTTACATCCTGTACCCATTAATGTTCTTTATAATTTCCGCACCTATCTCTGAAGAATTTCAATATCTCTTCCAGTTTAACTGAACAACGGCAAAATGGCCCGAGGGTGAAATCAACTTCAGTGTGTACAAATATATATAGTAAAATAAAAAAAATGAAATGCTTACATCATCGTGTAATAATAATTAATACGCAATTTTATGTTTTGGTAAAATCACCGTATATTCCTGCATATAAGACAAGTCTTAAAATAACAATTAACAATAAAAAAAACAGGAGGTCATCTATGTGCGCAACTGTCACATACAAATGTTTAATTTTTAAATCATGTTCGTCTTACATGCAGATTTACTACCGAAATGAAGATACTAATGAACGCAATTTTAAATGTGGGGAAATTAAAGATTCTGATGAACAGAAATAACCATACAATGGTACTATTTGGAAGATTAGCCCTCAATTGGCTCCGTTTTTAACCAGCTAGATGCAGCATCCAGTCCATAAAGAGCAGGAAAATGTAGGAATTCCGACAGTGAAACACAGGGGGGGGGGGATTATGATATAAAAAAAATCGTCCAAATATCTTCTTAAACTTGGGGTCGGCTTATACACAGATTGCCTTATTTGCGAAATATACGGTACATTCATCAAAAATTTAGATAAGTCACTGGTGCATTAAACCCTGGCACTTTGATACTTGTGAAGGTCCTAACAATTACAGCCATTCGTAGACCAGACACTGGTCGAGTATATTGTGGGACGCATGTATTCCTGGTTCCAACTATTGAAAAAAGCTTCTGAGTTATGATTGACAAAAAATTGATTCTCAAAGTGACAGACACAAAAATGTCACCAAAAACAATGACGCAAGCTATTTTAAACGAGGATGGTGAACAGGAACTTTACATTATTATTATTAACACTAATAGTGTCCAATACAGAATTTCATATTTTTACAGAAAGCATATATTTTTAAAACTTCAACAATGAACTATCATCACCTGTACTCGAAATGTTATGTAACTGGAGAAGCCTCTATAAATGAACACTGAATAAAATGCGACCAGCTCTGGCAAAAAACCAACCGTTTTCTAGGAAAAATGAAAAATTTTTGGAGTTTTTGGTATTTTAAAATTCTTCATGTATTCCACTTTTAATGTTTATTTAATGGAAATTGGTTGAGTATTTGCATGAGTGTTTAATTTACTGGATATCAACCATGTAGGTTTTGAGAAAACAGCTTCCAAAGGTTCCAAAATCAATAGTTCATTACCAATATTGGGATTATTTTACTATACACTTCAGTTAGAGTTAGTGATTGATATATTGCAGAAATGTTCTTTAATAATATTATATATTATATTTAAATCAAAATTGTGATTGGTGCTAGTGCAAAATTAGAAATTGCGACGAATGTAGGGTTTTGCCAGAGTTGGTCACTAATGCTTTCATGCTTTTTTTTTAAGCAAGCAAATTCAACTGCATGTCTAAAACAAAAACCATCATTTTCATAATCAGCACAAAACACTAAGAATCACACAAAGTAAAAAATAAAATTGTTGACTTTAAAAATCCATTAACTTTGGCCACCAGAGATTCAATTTTTCCTCATTAAAAATGGAGACTTGTCGTCAGCATCTTGTATTCATCGAGCAATTGTGATCTTGGCAAGATGGTCTACAGGCTCTTCAATGGTCTTTCCATGGCTTGTCTTTTGTTTTGTCACCAGTTCTGAAGGTTCTTCCTCCTCCTCTTTTACCTCCTCTAGAGTCTGGTACGTATGCTTACCTTTGATGGAACTGGATTTGCTGTCCGGCCTTGCAGAGGCATTTGATGTTCTAGTGTTACACATTACCTGTGACACATTCCTTGTAGAGCCAGAACTGGAGACATCAAGAGACTTCAGTTCACTGGCTAGATTGTTATGTTTGTCCGTATGTATCCCTGGAGGGCGATACCAATGTTCCATGGGGTTAACAGTGTTAATGTGTTGCCTTTGTTCAGACGAGCTATATGGATCCCTATTCTTATCAATGTCTCTTGGATCTGAAGGATTTTTCAAGTATGTCACTCGCTGTCTTTTATTACCAGTATAAGTCCTTTGAATAGTTTCTGGGTGTTCTTCCTTATGGAAAGGGGGCTTTTCCTTTGGAGTAAGCGACACACACACATCCCCGACAGCAAGTTTGTGGCATTCGAGATTATATCGAAGCAATGTTAACTCGGGATTGACTGAAGACCATCCATGACCAAACACATAAAAAGGGTGTTCCAAAGTAGCTTCAACGGTAACCTAATGAAGAAATATTGATAAAACGCATAAATGATTAATAATAATAATTATAATAATTTATAAAGCGCTAATTAAACCAAAGTAAAAATCAAAGGCGCTGTGCATGTTCAGATGTTAAAAAGGTGACCTTTGAATTTGGTCATAAAAATGGCAACCGATGGAGGGAGTTCCAAAGTGTGGCAGCTGAAATGATCTGTGGTCGTAAAATTTGGTGTTAACTGTTGGAACAATGAGCAACTTAAGGTCAGAAGAATGGAGGGAGGATAAAGAGACATATTTAGGAAGGAGTTCGAGTAAGTACTGCAAGTGGGCTGTTGGAGTCACAGTGCTTTTAAAATGTTAGTAGAAGAATTTTATAATTTATTAGTGAATTAATGTGAAGCCAGTCACAAATTATAGCTAACGGGAAAATTAGATACACAAATCAACACATCAAAACAAGTCATTGAATTGTTGGGCATCAGCTATTGGAATCGCACCACATAAATGGAACGATTGATTGATTGTCTCCGAAAAAAAGTGTAATAAGCTGACAAATTATAATTTTTAATTAAAATATATCAACAGGTGGGTCTTAATATGTTCCTTCAACTTGATACAATTGCATGTTTCCTGCATCTGAGTTCGTGATAATTGAGTTTTATCTTATCTTATGCTATGGATTAATATGAAAGCAACAGAACTATTACATCTAAAAGTTTAAAAAAAGTGATGGGAGACAAAAGAAATAGGCTCTTGATAGGAGCATGTGTATACTGCAGAAACCAGGTCAAAATTACTCTAAACATAGAGTAATCCATTATTGGACAAGTTGCTTTCAGTCACTGGTCATCCGTCAAAACATAGGACAAATTACTAACTCCCTGATAAAACTACATTAACACCTGTACTTGGTATGATGAATGTCTTAAATGAAATTAACTGAAATGAACATTAACACATTCAATTTTATTAAAAAAATCCCATGAACCTTAACACTTCATTTCAAAAAAAAAATTGTACTACCACATCATACATTATATCAGTGCAAATGCAGTATATACTAAAAAATCATAAAAAAAAAAAAAAAAAAAAACAAACAAAAAAAAAAAAAAAAAAAAAAAAAAAAAAATAATGGATATACAGTCAAGTCCGCCAAAGTCAACTCTGTTTAAGTCGAAAATTCGCGTCAGTCGAATTTTTGAAAAAGTCCCAATTCTTTCCTATGTATTACTGCGTAAATTGTTTGTTTAATTCGAATTTTTATAAGTCGAATTTCGGCTATATCGACAGAATTTTCCAGTCCGGATAGGCCGATTTTAAAGTAATTTTAACCACACAAGTCGAAGTTCCAAATTTAGTAGTGCACGTGGGAAAAGTACACAGCCGTGGGAAAATACGAAGTTCAATCCTTGTTGTACGGCAACAAGTTAGCCATATCAAAACTAACATCTCAGACAGCGCGCTGTGGAACTTGGCTCACATGATTGTATGTCGTAAGTTGCAGTCTACTCTCACAATACAGACCCCTCTGGACCGGCTCCAATGTTCAGTTTTCCCTCCAGTTCAGTTTGTAAAACTTGTATTGAACCCATTTCGAACAAGATTGTTGTAGTCAGGGCCTAGCTATTTAATTAATTTATCAAAGCCCTGGATTCTTTTGAATGCCTAGCCAACGCAAATTCGACACATTAGGCCTATTTAATAATACGTACAGTACCTGTTGTTTTGCTGTACTGCTGAGCAAATTTAATTATTACCAATAAAACTGATGCGACTTTTATATTGTTTTGGCGTGCATTTCTTTAGGTCTGATTATGTTTTTCCAAGCACGCATTTTTCGCTGGGAATGCCACTTGCTGGTCGGCAGTCTGAAACTCTGCCTGCCCGCCAATTGGTCCATTTTCGTGGGGTGTTTTGTAGACTAGAAATGTGCTTCGGCTGTGATGACGTCAGATCGCCCAAAGTTTCATAATGCGTGACAGTAACAAGCTCGGTGTATTAATCAAGAATGTTTTAATTGTTAAAAACAAATTTATTAAACAAAACAAAAAACAAATAAGAAACCCTCATGGTATATTTTAAGAGTCAAATCTAAATAAACCTAACAAATTATATTTTATTCTCTACAAATTTCCTCCGTAATTAAATTAGCAACATGTTTTGAAAAGCATATTGAGTTTAAAGAATGAATGAGGTGCATTTGAAATTTACACCGACGAATCTAACAAATTTGAATTAGACATCTACTGAAAAGAATAACCAGTAGAAACTTGCTTTGTTGAGTTCCGTCTTTATTGCAGGTTGATTCCAAATGGTTTTTTAGGATTAAAATCAAGAATATACGCTTATTAAAACATTGGAATGCGTAAATTTCACTTCATAATTAACCAACAAAACGTCTACTGTTGTGTCGTATTAATCAACAGATAATCTCCATGGCAATGCGAGTACAGCTAAGCGTCTCGTTTTCACAACGTGTGGTATGCTTGTCGTTAAGAGATGTCTATTAAACTATCGTCTGGTTTTTCGAGTGAGTGTTACCGTCCTAAATTGGACAAATCGTCCGAGATTTAGAATAGGGAGTTCATGTTTTCGGAAACTATTTTATTAAAAGAAGAATAGGAATGACTTTGGGACTTAAGAAAATGTTCGGTTTTGCGTGAAATTCGATTTTGTGGGCATTGAGTGCAAACAGTATTGTTCAATGTTATTTTTTTTTTCGAAAATGTGCAAGTCGAAATCTGTATAACTCGAACTTTTTATGCCAGTCCCATTAGATTCGACTTAGGCGAACTCGACTGTAAAATGAACAAAAAAAAAAAAAACTTAAAGGAAATGTGTACAGTATTTACCTGTTCACGGTTTTCTCCTACTGAGAAGCTGATTATAGCCACCGGCTTCTTTGCTACATCCTCTATTCTCACTACTGTACTTGAATCAATCTTAAGACCATCAGTTACTGCCGCACTTTGGATGAAATCGTCAGTGCACAAGTCTTCCACTCGTTTCAATACACCACTAGCCAACTGAATCACTGAGCCACGTGTAAAATATGAGGGGAAGGTGGACGGACCGGGATACTCTGCATCGGCAGTCAGTTTGTGAGTAGCAGGTTGAGGGTAGGTGTGCGAAGTATTCGTCCCATGTAACATCTTGACATCGCTTCTATTGGCTGCTTTAGGAGAATCTTTCATTCGTAAGGTATTGTAAGCTTCCTGTGACTCAATAACATCCAGTTGAGTTTTCTGCGAAAATGTTGCATGCGTTGATGAGCGAACCTGAGGTGTTGGACTAAGCTGTAACTGCAAACTGGAATATGCAGCCGGAGGAGATACGAGTTGTGGAGGTGACTGCATTGATGTTTGTATGGTCAGAGCGTTAGCGTATAATGATTGCATGTTCCCAGAAGGTAACTGGTGTGGATACTGCTCTTTTCTCGGTGCTGGCTGAAGTGGAAGGACATGGGCTACCTTTGGTGATTCGTGGTACGCTCTTTCTTGTTTCAGTTCTGTCTGGTATGGAGGTTCTTTAAATCGGACATGGTGACCTGATGAATGTAAATCTCTTGGAGAGGGTCCTCTTGAACTTTTTCCATCATTATGAGCAGTTTTAGCATCAACTTCATGGATTTTTCTCTCATGACTTTCCCATCTCTCCCGTGCAGGATGGGGATGTGGATTTTCTTCATTTTTCTCATTCCCTTGCCACTGTTCACCTGAAGCATGCCGGCTACGACTGCCTGGTTCAACGCCCACAACATAGATTCCACTTCCGGGAATGGGATAGCCTGGTGTGGGATACTCCCTTGGCGATGGTAATGGTGAGCCCTCAATTGCTCCATAGGGAGGAACAGTGGTCGGTAGCAAGGAATGAGGTAAAAGAGGTCCTGGTCTCACCTGGCTTCCCATATTTGCCAGCATCTCTGAACAGGAAGACTGTGCTGTTCTCATCACTGTTGAATGAACCGGCAGATGTACAAACGGCTCATAATATGGTGCATAATGAAAACCAGGTACAGTGCTATACTGTACCATGGGTGGTGAAGTATACTGTAACACAGAATGATTGGCTAGGTGAGGAGCATTTGTAGCATATAATAGTGCTGGAGATGCACTGGAATAAGGCCTAGCTGATTTCTCCTCTACAGGAGACATGCCTCGACTGGCAGAGTGTCTACCATTTGATGCAGAAATGTGCGGCGATGATTGTCCATCAGTTGGAGGTCTATCGTATGTTCTACGCAGGTCCTGTGCCCAAGATATTCTGTGTACCCTATCATCTTCATCAATTCTGTTCTCATTAGCTTTTTCACTAATAACACTTTCTTCTTGAATGCCTTCTGGCTGACGGTTCTGACTGTGTTCAGAGGATGCTGGAGGAAAGTTATCGTTTTCGGCAGTGGCTTGATTCTGTGATGACACACTACCCATTGAAGGTCTGTTAACATGCATGAAGTTGGCGTTGCTGTCTGGATTTCTTAAAAGTTTGCCATGTTGGTTCAATTCGTTGTTTTTGTGTATTGGTTGGTTTGATATATACATCAGAGATTCGCATTCCCCAAAGGCTCTGTTTAAAGACAAAAGCAAAAAACAAAGCAATTATTAGTGGATGATAATTGGTATCTATATTCCAATGGAGGTGGAATAAGCTGGGCACTAACTGCATTGTACGGTGGTTGTATGACTGTCGCTCGACAAATCCAACTTTGTTCCCATTGAGTGCTAGATGAATGGATCGTCATTAAAAACGATCCGTTGTGCTAATCATGGTGTTGCGTTCTCCGCAGAATAGCGTCGGCAGATGACAGTCGGGTGCAATGAGTGCCAGGTTTTAGATGCGTTCCCATTGTGGGTGTCAAATGAACTTTGGTCCCTGCAAGCTCCAGAGGTTTAGCCATTTCAATAATTTATTCTAAATAATTTCACACTAGGTGGAGTGGGGGCTGACGTAATTCCCAAAAATACTGATTGCAAACCTAAACAAAACATTCTAATGGCAGATTGTGAACTAAAAGCAATTTTTATCAACCTAAATCAAAACTCTCTCCATTTTGACAACCCCACTGCCTTAAAAGAGAGACTAGCAACCTTTAATTTAGACTTTTTTTGGACTTGTTGGTCTATCAGCAAGTTCCATGAGCCACCACTGCTTGGCGCAAGCATCTATGTTGACAAACCAATAAAATTAAATACTGTACATAACATTTTGGAAACTTTAATTTTTGACCTGACTAAAAGCAATTTTTACCAATCAAAACAATCAGTGTCTCCCTTTTGACGACCCAATTGATTTAACAGACTTTTGCAACCTTTAGTTTAGAACCTCTTTTGGAACAGCTGGGCACTATTGTGAATTCAAAGGAACCAGTGCTGCTCGGCACAAGTATCTATTAAAAACAAAACCTTTTTACATAGAATTACGGAAGCTTCAATGTCTAGTTTTAATGACAGACCTTACATTGTTTTAACTACTGCAATGAGCTAAAACTGCATTCTTCAAGTTGTGCAGGAAAAAAATATTTCATATGCTTTTATACAGAGTTCAAATCTAGGGGAATGTGATTTTGCAATCTTGGCTGGCAGGAAAGGAGGAAGGGCAAAAGGTAATAAGCATAGAACAAGGCCACATTTGTTTGAAAATCTGTCTTCTTTCATCTTAAAAACTCTACCCACAATGATGGTCACTTACAGGTACTTTAGAGTTTAGACAAATTTTTTTGAAAAATTTAATTTTGACTAATTTAATCAAACTTTATGTTTAGATTTTAATCATTTTCATAAAACATAAACAAAATTTAATTCCAGTAGGCCCTACTGTATATTTGGCCAACTAAAAGCCTTGAATACACTATTGTGTAAAAACAAAATTGATCGATTTCAATTTTATAATTTTATTTTTGTCAACGATACCCGATCAATAGCGCTAAATTTTATGGTTGATGTAATAAATATGATGGTGCTACTAATTTGCGTATCCACCGCTGCAACCATATAATGAGCTGGTTTTGAGAATGACACGAGCATAACCACGCAACTATACATTCTGCATGATAAAAGCGCTAGCCTTTATTGCATACAGTACACACTATATTAACAACTAATTAAGGTGGTGAATATGCAACAGAGCCATATATATAAAGAGTTGCGACATTCCGCACCTTGGTTTACGAAAGTCACGTGGTACACACCGTCCATTTTGTTTCATAATCTTCCCGGAACACATGCAAAGTATATGTGTTACGTACATTGCATATTAATTTCAAACACTTAATTGGGTTTACAACTATATTTTATAATTAACAGCACTTTGTATGGACAGCGTATAAGAATTCATATATAATCGAATATTTGCGCGCGTGCGTGCTCGCGTAAATTCCGTGCTCGTGTAAATGATTGAAATTAAAATTAGAATTTTTTCAATTATCGTTAATTCGTCACATTTTAATCAATGAAGACCCGACCTATTTTATTTAATGGTAATCTTTTCTTTGGTTTTAATTGTTTTTAATAGTGTTATCAGTTGCATTTTTACACTGTTTACGTTCATCATTAAAATTGTATTTTTATTTTCTCATTCGCCTAGATGCGTTCGGGAAATATTTAAGCTAAATAAGAAAAAAATTTAATTTTTTTTCCGACCTTTTCTGACAATCTTTAAAGGTTGTTTGCTAAACAATATTAGAAAATGGTTCTTAATTTCAAATCTTTGTACAGCCTGTATAAATACGAATGACAATGAAAATAATGGTGATGTTTAATAATCTTTAAAATGATTTGCTGTTTCCATTGCATACTATTATATAATTATTATAACTTTATTTTGGAAACGACGCTTTTAAAACAGCGGACACGCTCTCGCAGTGTGTTTATAAAAGTAACATACTGTACAGCCATAATACAATATTAAAATTGAGGCGAGACTTTTAATACAATAAAATGTACGTTACATAATTACACAAGTTGAATATATCACAGATCCTGTATATCATTTAACACTTACAATTTATAACATTTACAGCAAAGCACAGTTTATATATTG